CAAGTAGCGATTCAAAGTCGATACAGGAAACTGCCCAGGAGAAGGAATATCCCTATAGGGAAGCAGTGGGAAGTTTACTGTACCTGTCTACCAGAACCAGACCAGATATCGCACAAGCGGTCAATCTAGTTAGCAGGAAGGTCGAAAACCCCACTAGAGAAGACGTTACAAAAGTGAAGAAAATATTCAAATATTTAGTGGGAACCAAACATAAAGGCATTTTATTCAAACGAAACAAACCGATAGAGAGCATCGATGCTTACAGCGACTCGGATTATGCTGGAGACCCATTGACGCGAAGAAGCACTTCTGGTTCCGTGCTAATGATAGCCGATGGACCAATATCATGGGCATCCAAGAGGCAGCCTATAGTAGCGCTATCGTCGACTGAAGCCGAGTACATAGCCGCAGCCGACTGTTGCAAAGAGGCATTGTATCTCAAATCTCTATTACAGGAAACAACCGGTTTGGACATAAAAATAAATCTACATGTTGATAACCAAAGTTCGATTCAACTTGTGAAGTCTGGATCCTTCAACAAAAGGTCTAAGCACATAGACGTGCGGTACCATTTTATACATGAACACTTCGTGCATGGATTAATAAATATTAGCTACTGTCCCACAGAAATTCAGTTAGCTGACGTAATGACAAAACCATTGTCAAAAGTAAAATTTGAAAGACACTGTGCAAGATTAATGCATGTATAGAAACGTGTCTCGGCAACATGAGTGAACATCAGGAGAAGGTGTTGGAAGGTCGTGATGTTGTCCACGTATAATTGTCTATGATGCACTATATTTGAATTTGTAATATGTTCTTTTTACTTTTGATGTGCGGTGTCATTCTGAATTATATTTTCTCTTATACAAGTCAACACAATGTTTTCAAGTATTTAATTTACGTTTTAATTAATTGCTATAGCCGCTAGTCCACCCTATCAAAAACTAATAGTAGTATTCCCGGATTTAATTATATCGGAATAGCAATTAATTGAAAAATTTGATTTAGTGTTCATTAATCTTAATTTTACCATTGGTTGGCGGGAATACTATACTATAAAGCTATTTTTTGCGTTAGTTCCTGCGATTGTAGAATTGTTCTGTTGTTTTGGTTAATTTAGCTTAAACATATGAAACTAACAAATTAGTTGCAATTAATAAATCATATAGGACCGAAAGTCAAGCCGTAAACCGAATAAACTTATTGCGTGATTGTTTTATTAATTTAACTTCACCCATCTTCATGTCTTTTTTTCCTTTTCTTCTACCTAAGCTGATGGTCTTGAGAGACCATTTTAACTAGTAGGTGAGCTCGCGGGGTTCAAACCTAACGTCGTTGCAAACACTAGCCCCAGCGAGAGCAGTGCTTCACAGAATCTACTACCGCATCGGAATCGCGATCCACTGAGATCCGGCGAGAAATTTGGAGGGCTTTGAAGTCTTCACGTCTGTGACCTTAATGCTGCGTCTATACCGGGATTTAAATACTAGGCCGGGTGCCAATATTATTACATAGCAACTATATCACACATATATATTTAACCTCTTATATATAATTATATTGATACAAGATGTTATGTGTATATATTTTGTTTATACACGCAGTTGGAACGAAGTTCCTTATCGCGCGTTGTGAAAGGGGGCTAGACGGAAAAAATTCTTACGAAAAGTTGTCACGACACTTTTTAGATCCGTCATTCTGACCAATCAACGTGTAGGCGCGTATCGCGTGACATTGCTCGTATCCGATTTGTCCGCGTAATGAGTACAGTTTCTCGAGATAGCGTTTCAACAATAGTAATTTAGTTCATAGTATTGTTTTTTTTTCTTCATAATGCCGTAATTTATTATTATAACTTAAAAAAAAATTACAATTCCTTCACTAATTAATCGAAAGGAACTTCGTTCCATCCGGGTGTCCCTTGGCACCTCTGAAGTTTTATATTTAAGTTTGTCAGGGATTATAAAAACAAACAAGCCATTTTTGAACTGAAAACTTCTTTAGAATCGTTGTGATTTCAAACCGGATGCAACGGAAAAAACGACAGGTAAGAGACACAAATACAAAAATGTGTAGGATGAAGCCAGCAAAGAATGAGACAGAAATATACATACTATTTAATACAGCGCCATCTGTGAGATTTTTTAATACTAACGTGTGTATGAAAGCTCTTGTAGTGAATTNAGGAATTTAATTTAATGTGACCCGCTCCATACAAAAAAATCACAAAACACATTTTTCTGACCAAACTATAAAGTTTTTGTAATTTTTGCCTAAAACAATTATTATTTAGATTAACGAGCTCTATCTATCTACATAAAGAAAAATGTAAAAAAACAAAGTTGGTGCCTAAGTCACTAAAATCATAGTATCGACCCACTGTGCGGCGTAGCGCTGTAATTATTACAAAACAAAGGCAATTTAGAAAAATAGCGCCTTTCATAGAAACGGTTGAAGCTATTAGGGTTTTGAGATAATGATAATATATAGCTTTTTTTGTATAATATATATTATTTAGACAAATGTTTTAACAGCAATAATTCGATTTAAGCTGTTAAAAATGTCAGCTATGTTATAGTTTAGAACTGAATGTTACAAAAAAACATTGCTTCCGATTATTATGGATACTTGCACATTTATTAAGAGTCCGGTTAAATTAGACTAAAAATAGGGGTGAGGTTACGAAAATACAAACTCGGCTGAAAATTAGGATTGTTCAAAACACTATTGAAACTAACTAAATGAAATGTTAAAAGATCCTCATCGATCAGAAAACCTAGAAAAAAAATTACTCGGAGTCAACAGTCACAATAACGGGTTTTTCGCGATTTTCGCTGAAAACGGTAAATTTTTTGACATAATTAGCCCAAAGAAAAATTTTATAATTGTATAATTAATTAAGAGCCACCGTTTTAAATACATAACGATTCAAAAATATTAAAGAGTCGTCGTAATCATCAATTTCAACAAAGTTTCACAGTTTGCATACTAAATGAATAATTATATTAAACGAAAGCGCATTCGTCTCCAAAAAGAAGAGCGCTCCCAAACAAAAAAACAACAATCCCACTTGATATCAATATTTTTAAAACTTCAGTTTGAGAATGTCTAGATAAAGCATTTTCAGTCATACTTTAACAAGGTTTTGTCTTTGAAGATATTAATGTTTTTAAGCTATTGCATCGCTTTTATCGCGGGCTTTGAGCGCGGCGAGCGAATCAAGAAATTTCGTAACGAAAATAAAACCTAACACCCCCACTCCGGCTACCATGTAGCTCGCGTTCAACACATTCACGTTACGCTTGCGTAGTGTTTGTGAATAAGCGAGCGGCGTGACGTCGCACTGCATGCGCATCATGAAAAGTCTGCTTATCTCTCTCTCGCGGGCTCTAGCTTATGAGTGTGAAGGGGACAGTTAATGTTTTGCTTTTGTTAATGTTTATAAATATAGTGTGGTCTTATTTTATTATTGTTTTAATATTAAATGGTTATTGTGTAATTATAATTGCATTGTTGATACAAAACAGCAGTCCCCGAGTGCCACACGTGTTTTTTTGTTTAGTCTGTAAGTACACTTTTTTTAGTTGGACCTATTACATATTACTAGTCTGATATTTATCGCATGTATCGAAAATTGCTAATATCGACGACCTAGTGAAAATCGGTGGATCACGTTGGATGCAGGTGACAACTGACCGACCGCACCGGAGATCGATTAGAAAGGTCTACATACACAGCAGTGGTTAGTTATAGGCTGAAAGCAGATTGAACTATGCTGTGTGAGCGGTGAGAACTATGAATTCACGTACGCAGTGAAGAAAGTACGAAGTTCGAGCCCATGATTTCATATAATCAAAATTTGGTTTCGTAATTATTTTACCCATAGACACAGCCCACTGAGTTTCTCACTGGATCTTCTCAGTGGGTCGCGTTTCCGATCCGGTGGTAATTTCTGCGAAGCGCGGCTCTTGCTAGGGTTTGTGTTAGCAACGTCATCAGGTTTGAGCACCGTGAACTAGAATATCCCCTCGAGGTTACTAGAATCATCATCATCATCATTTCAGCCTATCGCCGTCCACTGCTGAACATAGGCCTCTCCAATAGATTTCCAGTGCGACCGGTCCGTTGCCACCTGCATCCAACTATAGTAGAATAGGTAGAATATACTAGAATAGGTAGGAAAAAATATTGGCTGCGCTGATGATGATGATAATCGAAAATTTACAATACAATATATTGTTCTATTGATATTCAGCAAAGAATCTTCATTATAATAATTGGAAACAAGATAAAACAAAGTACAGTGTCTTACTTTTCTATTAAGATCGTATTAAGTTTAATTATTTGTCAAATTAAAGTAAAAACCGCTCGTTTCACTATTTTACCTTATTTTTTAAAAATTATATGTTATTTAGAGAAATCAGAACACGAGTAGCCCTAATTTTTATTGATACGCAGGTGCTGTTATTTCCAGTTACACTTAATTGCTCAATACATTAATATTTCAAAGTGTTTTGTTTTTCACTTGTCTTCCTACAATAGATTAAACTCTGATATCAATTGTTTTTAAAACCATTACTTTCTTGTAGGTTAACCATAATTTGTATTGGAGAAAAAGTGAATATTTACTGCTAGATTTCCCGGATTCAGATGAATACCTACGGAACCTTTTGCGAATAGTAATTAATTGAATTTTTTTATTTTGTATTCATTAATCTTAATTTTATCAAAGGTTGGGGGAATATGTACTTAGCTATTTACAACGTTAGTTCCATACATTCTAGTATTGTTTTGATTAATGCAGTTTAAGCAAATGAAACTTTAAAAAATTAACTGCAATTATTAAACCATATAGGACCGAAAGCCAAGCTGAAAACCACCCTTATCACAATCCGCGTAGCCACGGCCTTCCGACAACCCGAAGCGGATCTCGCAAGGACTGACACAACGCAATGAGGACCACAATTAGGAAATACATGCTCTTATGCGTCACAAATTTTGCAGTTCCATAGACATAGACAACTCTTAGATATATGGTTCAGCCCGCTGAGTTTTTCTCCGGATCTTCTCAACAGGTCGCGATTCCGATCCGGTAGTAGATTCATTTGCTTAACAGCTTGAGTTGTTAGGTCTCCTTCGAGGGCGCTCGGGCGGCTGTTGTCAAGTCCCACCCCTCTTGGCTAAGCTTTTGCTCGCCCGCCTGTCCTGGTGAAACTGGAAAGGCCTCCGGGCCACAGTAATGATTCAATCATAAAAAAAGATATATTATGGTTAATTGTGATTTACTTCCTTACGTAACGTCAACTAGTATGTTGGTACATACAGAAGCAACATTGAAATTATGCCAAATGTTGAAAATTAAAAACATCTAACTATACGGAATAGTTTCAGATTCTCATAGTGCGATTCTCGAACAGCCGGTGCACGCCCTCCTGGCTGAGTCCGTGAGTCTCCCACATGTCCCAGTGAAACTGGAAAGGCCTCCAGGACAACAGTAACTCATCAATCATAAAGAAGGCGGTGCACGAAAGTCTTTTTTTTATGATTGAAGGATTACTGGTGGCCCAGAGGCCATCTTTTTTTCTTATTTTTTTTTTTGTTATTGCTTAGATGGATGGAAGAGCTCACAGCCCACCTGGTGTTAAGTGGTTACTGGAGCCCGTAGACATCTACAACGTAAATGCGCCATCCACCTCGAGATATAAGTTCTAAGATCTCAGTATAGTTACAACGGCTACCCCACCCTTCGAACCGAAACGCATTACTGCTTCAGGGCGGAAATAGGCAGGGTGGTGGTACCTACACGCGCGGACTCATAAGAGGTCCTAGCACCAGTAATTACGCAAATTATAATTTTGCAGGTTTGATTTTTATTACACGATGTTATTCCTTCACCGTGGAAGTCAATCGTGAACATTAGTTTAGTACGTATTTCATTAGAAAAATTGGTACCCGCCTGCGGGATTCGAACACCGGTGCATCGCTACAACACGGATGCACCGGACGTCTTATCTTTTAGGCCACGACGACTTTTGCCTCTGCCAGGCTAGAGAAATAAAATGATAATATTTTAACTACAAACTTCATCAGTAAAAGCAAACATCTCTCTCGGTCACTCAATATTATATCTAAAAACTAAAAAATGTATTTTCTCATATTTAGTTCAGTGTTAACAAAACTTGCTTAAGTGTCTATATAGCGCCGTATGTGCGATACATTAAAAGAGACGCAACGTAAAAATATTTGGGGAATTAATAATAATAATGAAGAAAAAAAAAACACCAAAAACTATATAATAATTTTATTTTCACACAAACCGCGAACAAATATGTACATACAAACACACTGACGGTAACTTTGGTAAGGTTCAATAAATCTACATAGTTTCAAAAATACTCTTGTCATATTTTTATTCAACTCACATTTCGTATACAAAAACAAAACGGAAACGTTCTGAAAAATGTGATGTATATACAATGTAATAATCGTATTACTGTCTACATTTCTTCCATAGGGTATTTATTATATTTGAATTTACTAAAAAATAAATAAAAATTGACTATTACGTGAAGTAAATAACATACGTATATTTGAATATTTAATGTGAAAATAACATTTTCACCTAACCGCCGCTACCAGACCGGACAGGGCACGTTGAACTGTCCACACGTCTACATCAACACAGACAGTTTTGTCTACTATCAATATAGACGCTACTGTCATACATTTTTGTAAGACTTTAGTACTGTGCACAAGTCCTCGTCCACTCGCATAAGATAAACATAATAAACTGACAAACATGTATATGTATAATTGAACTTAACAAAATTTTGAACACACTCATTTTTGAAGTGAAACTTCTAATGCGACTTCCAACAAGGTTGAGTTAAACGTTTAACGCTCCTGTGGAGGGGGAATAGAAAGAGACAGAGCGAGAGGGAATGCGCGGCACTCGTGCGCATGCGCGTAGCTACAGTCCAGCGCGAGCGTTAGCAACGAGAAGCGTCCTAAAAATATATATTATTTGTTTATCTATAATTTAAAATTTATCTATACTAATATTATAAAGAGGAAAGATTTGTTTGTTTGTCTGTTTCGAATAGGCTCCGAAACTACTGGACCGATTTGAACAATTATTTTTCCATTAGAAGCCGACATTGTCCCTGACGAACATAGGCTACTTTTTTTAATTATTTTTTTGGTTTCATGTGTGTTTTAATGTTTCCGAAGCGAAGCGAGGGCGGGTCGCTAGTGTAATATAAATGTTGAAGATGTCGCGTCTCTTATACACAGCAATTCCCTATTACAAGAGCAATCTAAATTTAAGAATGAAAAAAATGAAGAAAACCACAATACTCTGTACACATCGAACAAGAAGTTTCACTTCATTCACCGTTTTTTTTACAAGTCGGTCAGTTTATAATGTTTCATTTTGTTTTATTTATTCGTTTACTTCTTGGCGAAGTCCTCGCCGGTCTTGATGTTCTTGGCGAGTTCAGGGAGGGCCGCCTTCAGGAGTTGCTGCTCGAATTCGTTGAGGGTCCCGTAGCCGAGGACCTTCTCGACGCCGCTCTTGCCGAGCACCACGGGGCTGGCGAAGTACGTGGCCTCCGTGAGGCTCGATTTGACGTAGGCGCACTCCACCACGTTGGACTCGCCCTGCAACCAGCACGCCACGTAAAGACACCCCGACCCATAAGTCGTCGTGGCCTAACTGATAAGACGCCCGGTGCATTGGTGTTGTAGCGATGCAACGGTGTTCGAATCCCGCAGGCGGGTACCAATTTTTCTAATGAAATACGTACTTAACAAATGTTCACGATTGACTTCCACGGTGAAGGAATAACATCGTGTAAAAAAAATCAAACCCGCAAAATTATAATTTGCGTAATTACTGGTGGTAGTACCTCTTGTGAGTCCGCACGGGTAGGTACCACCGCTGAGCCTATTTCTGCCGTGAAGCAGTAATGCGTTTCGGTTTGAAAGGTGAGGCAGCCGTTATCATTATAGACATGAGACCTTAGAACTTATATCTGAAGGTGGGTGGCGCATTTACGTTGTAGATGTCTATGGGCTCCAGTAACCACTTAACACCAGGTGGGCTGTGAGCTCCTACACCCATCTTCCTTCAATCCCCATCAATATTAAATGCATACAATTGTGTATAGCATTTTTTTTTCCTACGCCTTAAGAGTGCCTTAAGAGGCTGTTTCAGCGTAACCTTAACTAGTAGGTGAGCTCACGGGGCTCAAACCTGACGACGTTGCTAACACGAACCCTAGCAAGAGCCGTGCTCCGCAGAATCTACCACCGGATCGGAAGCGCGACCCACTGAGAAGATCCGGCGAGAAATTCAGTGGGCTGTGTCTGTGGGTTAATTTACTCGTCGAATCCTTCGTCACAAGCGACGGGTTCGACGAGAACGATGACCGGTGCTTGAGGTATATCAGTTTCTGGATACCAGTGTGAAGAATCCTAATTTGGGACCGGATGACCGTATGTGACTTGTCGAGTCCGGTTTAATTACAGTATCATTTGGCACAGCTGCTTACCTTCAGTCCCCTGAGCACGGAGGCCGTGAGCCGCGCGCCGGCGTACGCCATGGAGAGGGTCGCGGAGCCGCCGCCGGCCTTCGCCTTCACAACCTGCAAATTACATCCCAATAAAAAATGTGTTACACTAGTTTATAAAATATTTCAAATCCTTTTTGCCAAACATGCATCTGTTTTGATTAAACCAGGGGTTCCCAAACTTATTTTGTCTACTGCCCACTTTGAGAATAAATTATTTTTTAGCGCCCCCATTTTTTCACCTACTTAAAAACCACTATAGCGAGAGCTCAGTCGATGTCTAAGAGTCCTTCTAGATGAAATTACGTATCGCCTCCCAAGCCTCTACACGACGCGTTTTTTCTGCGTCTCTTACCGCCCCCCTTTAGGCCTGCAGCGCCCACAAGGGGGCGTTATCGCCCACTTTGGAAAAGGCTGGATTAAACCAAGATTGCAGTTTCATTCCGAATTCTTGTATAAAGTCATAACCAGCTCTTTGAACGAGTCTCTCGTCTATTTGAAATTTAATGTTAATCTATACCTAGTCAGGTCATAAATTCTGTCACATGTTTAATGTAAAATAATTGAAACAAGTTTATTCATTATGTAACCATTCATATACCAAAATGAACTTAACAAAACATAGATTCTTATGACACTAAAGTTTATTCAAAATGACCTCCGTGATTTTGAATACAGGCCTTCAATCTGCGCGGCCAGTCGTCTATCGCAGCACGAATGAGGTCCATGTCAATATCGGCGGCTGCCTTAATCAAGGATGTCTTGAGTGACTCCAAATTGGGGTGAGGCTTTGAGCACGCCTTTTCCTCCAAGTGCTGCCATATCTTGTAATCTAACGGATTCAAATCTGGACTGGAGGAGGGCCAGTCTTCGTGCCGGATGAAGTCGATTTCACGCGCCGCCAGCCAGTCTGTGTGCTCTTCGCTCTATGAGCTGGCGCCGAATCTTGTTGGAATACCCAGTGCCTGTTATTGAACATGTTATGAGAAACAGGTTCCACAAGGTTCCTCAGGACTGTTTTTTGTTACACAACTGCATTCGTTTTTACACCTTTCTCACAAAAATGTACCTCTGTTAAGCCCCAATAAGAAACTCCCAACCATACCATGAGCGAGGATGGAAAATGACCTCGTTGGACACGCGGAATACGGTTGCTCGCTTCTTCACTACTGTGTGCGTACACCTTATAATTTTGTTTGTTGTAGCTCTCTTCTACGGTAAACATTTTTTCATCCGAAATAAGAATTTCCCGATATTTTTTTCCCGCGTACCGCTTCAACAAAGCGCGGCATCTCTTCAGTCTCAGGTCCATTAGACGAGCATTCAAACGATGTACTGTTTTCCTTCGATATGCCCGAAGCCCTAAGTCTTCATTTAACACCCTTTTCACAGTGGTTCTGCTTAACCCCATCTGAAGGGCCATTAGTTTCTGCTTACGTTTGGGATTTCTTTCAATTCGCGCCTTCACAGCTTTTATCACTGCTGGAGTCCTAACAGACCGAGGGCGACCATTTCTTGACCAGTCATCTACACTAGAGTCTTCATTGTATCGTTTGACGGTACGATAAACGTATGTTTTGGTTATATTCAAATTTCTCAGTATGTTAAAAATTTGAATTGGCGCGTAACCGCAACGATGCAACGCAATAACTGCAACACGGTCTTCTTTAAGCGTCTACTCCATATTTAAAAATGAGTAAAATTCTAAAAGTATACATTTTTATTTTCATGAACAATTCTAAATTCGAATTCAATAAACTTTTTTGTGGCCAGCATTCTAAAAGAAAAGTTTTTACTGTGTGACAATACTTATGACCTGACTAGTTATATATAAAAATGAATTGCTGTTCATTAGCTTCGCTAAAACTCGAGAACGGCTGGACCGATTTGGCTGATTTTGGTCTTGAATTATTTGTGGAAGTCCAGAGAAGGTTTAAAAGGTAAATAAATATGAAAATGCTCGGAATTAAATGAAAATAACAATTTTGTTTTCCCTTTATTGTGTCCCCTGTCGGACGAATTCCTTTTAGGTCTTTTATATATCGATTGAGGCACTATGAAGTCTGCCGGGTCAGCTAGTCTCGCATTAAAATTGTTATTAAACCAGTTCCTTACTTCGGTACCAGCCTCCTGGATCCTTTCGGTGAGCGCCTTGATCTTGGCCGGGTCACTCAGCTTGAGGGCCGGCTGGCACTGGGACAGGATGGGGATGATGGTGATGCCGGAGTGACCGCCGATGACGGGGACGGCGACGGAGGTCGGGTCCACGCCATTGATCTCGCCGACGAAGGTGGCAGCGCGGACTACGTCCAGAGTGGTGACGCCGAGCACGCGGTTCGGGTCGTACACTCCCGCCTGTGGGACGAATGGGGTTTTACAAAAAAGAAACTAGTAGGTTCCGGTAGTCGAAACTCGACTATAATTAATTGAAATTATAAGTTTGATTATATTATATTTTATTATAATTACTATTATAATTTTATTGTCAAAGACTAATCTATACTGTTCTATACTAATATACAAATCTACTGTGGTTTTTACGGATGTTCCGTTATAACTACTGAATCATGCATCCGATTGACTTGAAGCTTGGTATCCATGTAGAAAATACATGTACTTAATGGATAGGTTAATATTTATATGAGTGTTGGACTCCCTACACCAGTTGCGGGGGCGTTAATTATGAGAAACTTTGTGAGGTGAGAAATAATAATGTTAATTTTAAATGCCCAGCGAAGCGGACGGCTACAGCTAGTATACTTCTATAATCACCGATTTCGCCAAGACAAATATTAATTAATCTATTCTCAATTTCACCAATGACTTTATGCAATTAGAAAAGTTTGACAATAAACAAATAGTATGCATGTATGTGTGTGTCAAATACATTGTAGTGTGTGTAATGATTTTTTTTTATTGATTTAATGTACGAATTTTTTATGCATAATAAAAAAAAATATTAACATTCTACACTCCTTCTTTATGTTCTCTATAAGTGTGGTAAATTTCATACTCCTCTGTCCACGCAATTTGCGTAAAAATGATTACAAAGTTTTTGCTCCACATATTAATATATAGATTACATTCTACCATACTGCGGCATCATACATTATAATTGACTGTCAATCTTTCAAGACTGTCCTTTTTTATTATGCAAACACTACATATTGAATCTATGTTCACCTTTGAATATCTTTGTTGCCTTATTGTTATGGTGGTTAATAACCCTGTCTACTGTACCATATGGGGCAGGTTACATTCCCGATTTTAGTATCTACATTAAAGACATTTAATATTTAGCTCCTTTTGTGTGCATATTTCTGTAACCCATAACACAGGATAGACAGAGCACATTAAACCTAATTTGTAGATATTAAATCATTGTAAGCAGCGCTTAAACACAGATGCAACTTCACATGACAATAGTTTGTCATTGGTAATGTCATTCTAGTCATATCTCAACTTAATCACACAAGTACATTAGATATCGTGTTTTATTATCAATCATGATAAGCTGTCTGTCGTAATGTATTTAACTTATCGGTCTCGTGTGGCGTTTCTGTTACATATTATGTCATTTCTGCTTCATAAAATTATTTTCTGTTACCACAAAAATTATTTTTATTTATTTATGCCTAAATAATGAATTCGTACAACTGCCTACAGACGAGCATACGGCCCACCTGATGGTGAGTGGTTACCGTCGCCCATGGACTTTAGCAGTGCCAGGGGCAGAGCCAAGCCGCTGCCTACCGCTAGGGATAGGGATAAGACCGACAAATGAAATTTAGCTAAAATGACAAAAATATCCGTTTAGAAAAACATAATTTTGCAAATAATGTAAAAGTTTATAAGTGTATTGTTTATGCTTTTTTAAATTTTTTCTTGCTTAGACGGGTGGACGAGCTCACAGCCCAACTGGTGTTAAGTGGTTACTGGAGCCCATAGACATCTACAACGTAGACGCGTCACCAACCTTGAGATACAAGTTCTAGTCTCAGTATAGTTACAACGGCTACCCCACCCTTCAAACCACAACGCATTAATTAATTATGAATAAATTAATTTATCAGTTGATGTCAGTAAATAATAGGTATACAATTATAATTTCCTAGCTCTGAAGCATGGCACCCACATGGTCAAGGAAAGGTGTCAGTGTAATTTTCTATGGGAACGAGGCGTTTTTTTCGGGATAAAAGGTGACAACAGCTTGACCTAACACAGTCACTTAAAATAAAATCATATCAATCCATTGCTTTATTTCCAAGATAAAAGAAAGGCAAACAAACATAATTCCACATTTACAAAATTATGTATGGATTTTATATAGTTTAACTGCTATCAATACTTCCTACCATTTCTATTGTGAAGTAGTCATTCTCATTTTTAAGGTAAGATTGGCAATATTGAGACTATCGCCTAATATCTAATGTAGACAATGACATTAATGTGGGTTCTTGACCTGTACACATCAGACAGGCGGTGAGCAACTCTCTCTTAATAATATTCTATATTTAGACATAATTATTATCTAGTACAAACCTTCTTGAGCACTTCAGAGGCAATAGGCACTGTAGAGTTAACAGGGTTTGTGATGATGGCCACAATAGCTTTGGGTGCATTCTGAGCAATGGACAAAGCAATGTCACGGACAATGGAAGCATTAGTGTTGAATAGGTCATCACGGGTCATTCCCGGTTTACGGGGTACTCCTGCTGGGATGACTACAACATCAGCATCTGTTAAAAAAAAACATTTGAAGATTAGATGACACATTACAATATTTATATTACTTAATATTAATCAAGATTTTTATATAATATGTATAAAATATTTTTTTATAATGTAATTATATATTATATTGTAAATATATTATATAATTTAATGGTGGTAGGACCTCTTGTGAGTCCGCATGGGTAGGTACCACCACCCGGCCTATTTCTGCCGTGAAGCAGTAATGCGTTTCGGTTTGAAGGGTGGGGCAGACGTTGTAACTATACTTGAGACCTTAGAACTCATATCTCAAGGTGGGTGGTGCATTAACCTTGTAGATGTCTATGGGCTCCAGTAACTACTCAACACCAGGTGGGCTGAAGCTCGTCCACCCATATAAGCAACAAAAAATAAATCTATTTACTACATTTTATAAGATAAAGTAGAATATGCTTTATTATAGACAAAAATAATACATAATAAAACATAAAGAGCCACTCGAACATAAAAGTACAGTGTGCAGTTTTGTAATTGTCTCTGTACCTTTCTAGTAAAAGGGGATAGATATTTTTTTAAATGGGAACTAAAATCTTGTTGTTTGCATTAGAAGTGTTGTATTGAACAATTGTCACACTATTGACATATGATAATTTATCAGTGCTTCCAATTTCTTATCAATGGAAAATTACTGAATAAGGAAACCAATTTAAAATGCTAATCACGGGAATCCCTTAAAAGCGGTTATTTACTTTCATGTCGGTAATGTAATGTAACTTTATATTTCAAAGTAACTTCTATTTATTTTCAAAATGACATTGACATCAAAACCATGAAAGGGGAATGTCAAGGTCAACTATTCATAATCTATTATTATCTATTTATTTTATCTTTGAATGGAATATAACTGTAGCTTGCTATGAATATAACCTTGAATTTCATTATAAAACATTGAACTTCGTTTTGAGGTTAGAATTACATAACTTTTTGCTTAGAATTTTTTGATGCTATAATTTAGTTCATTGTTCACCTTTGATGGCTGCTGATAGCTCCTCAGGTCCCTTGTGGCCGCTGACCTTGGCTGGGGTGTTCATGTGGGAAAGGTCGGCTGCGACGCCGGGGGTCACAGGCGCTATGTCGTATAAAGCCAGCCTGGTCACCAGAGGATTCTGCTTCAGTAGAAGGGCCAAAGGCTGGCCGATACCACCGGCGGCACCAGCGACCACCACTTTAAAGTTCCTCTGTAATAAACACATTTCAATAACACGGGTATTCAAGATGGGCCTTGCTTGAGTCTTCAAGTTCAGGGTTTAAAACCATACCTGTGATGTGGTGGAAAAGTTCTTTGCACCATTTTGTACAGCAAGGGCGGCAGGTTTTAGGGCGCGGGAGAACATTTTCGTTGTTTGTTTAACGTGTATATACGTGTATATTTGAACTATTTCCACCTGACCCTCCCGACCTTTCGAAGATAACTGCTAGTGATGTAACTATCATAGCGACGTCAAACGTCAAGTTACGTGACGTATTCAATTTTATAATCTCGGGCAAAGATGAAGTTAAATACGTTAGCAGCACTGAAGTATGAAACCTAAGGTCTATGATTCGCAGGCATACAAGAATATAATAAATTAAATCAAATATTGAGTAGATTTTTTTTCAATTGATAAAAAGTACAGAATAATAATTCATGCAGCTAAAGTCCAGAAATAGTACAAAATTAATCATTATATTCTGGTTTTTACATAGACATTTACTAAATGAGAATACATCGATTTCCATATTTTCTATATCTTTCCGTAAAGTCTAGTAGTCCAAAATAATCGTGGTTTTTCAAAATTACATCCATCTATGTCTTTGACTGTCATTGCACGGTGCCTTGGTGACCACACTCCCTTTTTTGGATCTCTTCTTGGTATCCTTTCTTACATTGCCTATTTTGATTTGGGTATCTCTATTTTGATAAATACATCTTTATCCTTAAACCCATGACTTTGATTTTGTTCATATACGCTCCATAGGTACTTATATGGCTAGAATTCATTTTTCGTGTATCTCTATGCTATGGCCCATGACTGGTACTTATATTTTAAGCAAGGGAGAATGAGTATATTAAAAATAGCTGGTGGAATTATATGAATGAATACTTATAATTCCATTTTTAAAACAACGATTAACAGTGGCGTGAGAATCCTGTTCCTCATTATTGGTTGCTGACAACATAAAGGTTGTTGATAATAAGAAATAACCTATAGGAGGAATGTTTAATTAAATTACTATGTTTAACAATATAACTAAGTATTATAAAAGTTAATGCCCTTACTGTAATAACTGATCCAAACTTTTCGAATTCTTCCAGAAAGTCGTAATTCGCATTATTTCCTTTTAGATTACGTCTCATCTAATATCGATATTATGTCACCTCATTTAGCACAAAGTAATTTCCTTAATGGATTTCGTTTGCTTAATTGATTCCTTATTTTTTAGACAATAGTTGCATTGATCTGTGTCTATAAATATTTTGCGTATGTATGGGCCACGTTTCCATTGCCTTTTCAATGTAATGATTAATGATACTGACTGAACTGCTGAAAGATTTCATCGGTAAAAGTAAATAAATTAAAATATTGTTGTTTTGGTGGTTTATCTTACATACTTTGTGAAATAAATAAGGATAATTTAATCAAAATGAATGTGATACAAGCAGTTAAAATGTACATTACTAAAATGACGGAAGAGAGCGGCCCTGGAATGAAAGTGATATTAATGGATAAAGAAACTGTTAGTACCTAATTAATTGATAACGCCCTTTTGCTGTATTTATTTTTACTTGAATTCATACAGATTACATTACTGGCATCGAGTTTTCCCCGTTTCTAATATTACGCATTTAAATTACGAAAAAAAATCCTGTGGGACATAAACATTAAGACACCGAATGTTATTATTATATTGTTAATAGGCATAGCACTGTGGTTTTAGTTTATCTATATACCCTATCGGCTGAAATGATCTCTTATTGAGAAGTTTAAGCTGCCATTAGCAATCCAGATACGTTTATATACAAAAAAAATTATGCATGGAATAAGATGACAAAATGCTTTTGATTTTAATTATAATAATTTCTTGAAACAAATCACCCACGGTCATCCGGCCCTAAATTAGGATTACCTGTGTTATTAGTACTAGATACTGGCAGAAATACTGATATATGTTTAAATACATACATAATTGGATAATAAATAGCCAAACAAAGAGCAAACAAACCTGTCCATCACATGAACATATGCTCGACGTGGGAACCGAATCTACGACATTCAGGGCAACATTCACGGCTAACTACTGCAGCATGCAGTTAGCCAAATGATAGATGAAGTGATTAATATCACATTAGCAAGTGATTAATAACACATAGTGTTGTGTAATAAAAATCAAAACCTGCAAAATTATAATTTGCCTAATTACTGCTGGTAGGACCTCTTGTGAGTCCGCACGGGTAGGTACCACCACCCTACCTATTTCTGTCGTGAAGCAGTAATGCGTTTCGGTTTGAAGGGTGGGGCAGCCGTTGTAAGTATACTGAGACCTTAGAACTTATATCTCAAGGTGAGTGGCAGCATTTATGTTGTAGATGCCAATGGGCCCCTGTAACCACTTAACACCAGGTGGGCTGTGAGCTCTTCCACCCATTTAAGCAATAAAAAATAAATAAAAAAACATTATTAATCGTCAACATGTGACTATAAGTTCAGACTGTGTACTGAAGGAAATTTTTCACATATTGTTTCAGACCAGCATAGTGAGTATGGTGTACAGTCAATCGGAAATCTTACAGAAGGAAGTTTACTTATTCGAGAGGATAGACAGTCATGCCAAATGGGATAACATGAAACACATGAAATGCATAGTTTTTATACGTCCAACATCAGAGAACATAGCTCTGTTGTCACGGGAACTGAGAGATCCTAAATATGGTGTTTACTTTATATGTGAGTTTCAGTATTTATTATAACCTATTACTTTTTTTATTACAACAGATGAGCTCCCAGTTCATCTAATGAACTTGACGGGTTATTAGAGAGCATAAGCATTACAAGTTCCACTTTGGGCTATGAAGTTTTGTGCTTATGCCACTAATGTATTCTGTGAGAAGTAGTCAGAGTAGTGTTTCCTACTGTTTTGCCTTTGCCATTATTTGCCCCTATCAGGCTGCTATTTTCCATATATATTTCAATGGAGCATAAGAAAAAAATACCCCCTTAAGGTATGTGACAGCATTCAAACTGTGGTATCTATAGTTCCTCATGGATCCTCAACACTAAGTGGGCTGTGTGGTTCATCTAGAATATTAGAAATAAATCGACATTTAATTTTTATTAATTCAAAGTAAATACCAATATATGCAGAGCTGCCGTTACGAACATTTTGTATTGATTTGTAAGCCTATATTTGCTTACAAATCAAATTTTGGAAAATAACTTTTTAATATGAATAATAATATAAAAACAACTCAATAGGATTGTGTTGAAGTAATACAATTACCTCGAGCCTCTTTAACTCACCCCCTACCCGCTACCCCCTACCTTACCCCTTTAACTATTAAACTAAGTTCAGAAATAAGGAATACTCCGTTTCCTCTTGAATATCTCCTCATTTGTAACATGTGAATAAATTGTTAGATTTCAGTAATGTAGTTTCTAAGGCAGACATCAAAACTTTGGCCGAATGTGATGAAGAGGAGGCTGTCAGAGAGGTCCAGGAAGTTTTTGCTGACTACCTGGCTGTGGACAGACACCTGTTCTCTTTCAATATTGTTGGATGCCTCCAAGGTGAATAATGAGATTTTTATTTTTATTTAACTGTATTTAGATCATTAAGTCAGCTTATTGTTCAGAAATTAATTTTTGATTGTAAATCCAAATATTATCATAATTCATCCATTTCCATGTGGAATTAATTTTGTAAATTAATTTTCCTTTTGAAAGAAGCATAAATGTTATATTAATGTAAATGATAGCTTGAACATGGTAATAGTGAATAGGTACTTAGTATCTTTTTTTATTTAATTTTTTTATTGCTTAGATGGATGGACGAGCTCACAGCACACCTGGGGTTAAATGGTATGTATACCGGAGCCCATAGACATCAACAACGTAAATACGCCACTCACCTTAAGATATGAGTTCTATGGTCTCAACAACTTTTACAACGGCTTACAACGGCTGCCCCACCCTTCAAACCGAAACGCATTACTGCTTCACGGCAGAAATAGGTAGGGTAGTGGTACCCACCTGTGTGGACTCACAAGAATTCCCACCACCAGTAATGCGCCAGTATCTTGACGCTACGTCTCCTGTGAGCGAACTGTGAGTCTGTCTCACTTTGAGACGTGAAGACTTTGTGTCTCATGTGATTATATTTATCCTGATGAATATAAGTCACCTGTGACCACATTGACTGCCACAGAACCAGTATTCGAAACGTCATAATATATTAAGACAATAATATATGCAAGAACAAACTGCAAAAGTAGTTCTAATTATGTCTGACTCCCAAAGACTGAAGGAAACATATAAATGATTATCTTGTCTTTTTTAACTTATTATCCTTATTAGGACGGGTGTGGAACCAACAGCATCTCCAACGAGTTTCCCAAGGTCTGTTGGCGCTCCTCCTGTCTCTGAAGCGACGAGCCTGCGTCCGCTACGAGGCAGCATCAGAACCCTGCGCTCGTCTCGCGGAGAGGGTCCGCGATCTGCTGAGGAGGGAGGCTGTGCTCATAGATAATAGCATCCCTTATAACGGAGAGCTGCCCCCTACTCAGCTGCTGATCATCGACAGGAGAAATGATCCCGTCACGCCCCTATTGAGTCAGGCATGTTTCTTTCCTTAATATATATTTCGATATGGCATTTACTTTGGCACTTGCCCCGACTGCTTCTAGTGTAAATCCATCATTGATATTTTAATAATATATATGAGACACAATTAATGTGATATTTTTAATTTAGCATATATAGTCTTTAGTGTGAAATTTTTAATTTAGCATATATCTATAGCGTCTTCTCGCATTAAAACTGTATAATCTCAAAACTTACTAATTTTACAGGAGAATGTTTTAAAGGCATAACATGTGATATTTTAAATATTAATCATCTTTGCAACATTAATTTTTTATTTTGTACTAGTTACTATTTGTCTGTCTTTTAAAGTAATATAAGATAAAATTATGTATTAATTTTGTTCAAAGTAGTCAAAACTTAGGTAAACTAAAAAAAAAAAAAACTAAAACTAAACCTAAACTACGCTCTTTTGATAGTATTTATGGGAAAAATACTGGTGATACCAAATGATTCCGCATATTAACTGAATTTCGAATATTTTTGGAAATTGTACACTTTTAATGCGAAAAGAAGATGTGTATATTTTTATACCCTAATAACTACAATTGGATAAAAATACATTAGGAACATCTATCTTATCATAATTAATAAATTAAACATTAAAAAAAGGGAAGTTCTTGAAGTATCTCACAATCTGGCACTTATTTATATAGAAAATTAACCTCAAAACAATTTTTTATTATATTTTTTATAATAGTGGCGTCAATTTCAGTATATTTTTTAAATATCCAATACATTTAAGAATTGGATACCGTTTATTTTTATAGAGATATTTGATGTCCATTGTGGGCCCAGCACACTATGGAAAGTGAGCATTCCCCTTTACACAGTCGTTACTGCAACATTGAAATGTCTTCAGGTAACTTTTCAGTCGTTCACGATCATGGAGCCTAAATGTCATAGATAATGTAATGACAACAAAAAAAAACCTTAGATTACTTGTATACTGAAAAAATAGTTTTTAGTCATTGACATTCGTCCTTATGCCTGTAACGTGAAGGTACAGTTTTGTTTCTCCAGTGGACCTACCAGGCCATGGTGCACGAGCTGCTGACGATAAACAACAACCGCGTGAGCCTGGCGCACGTGCCCGACGTGCCCAAGGACTTCAGGGAGGTGGTGCTCTCCTCGGAGCAGGACGACTTCTACGCGAAGGTCAGTAGCGCTGGTGGGAGCCCGCACCGCCGGGACTGCTGTGTCATTGGGTAGCATTCAGACCAACTCCCACATTTATTTATTTATTACTATTTTCTTTTTTTTTATTGCGTAGATGGATGGACGAGATCACAGCCCACCTAGTGTTAAGTGGTTACCGAAGCCCATAGATATCTACAACGTAAATGCGCCACCCACCCTGAGATATACGTTCTAAGGTCTCAGTATGGTTACAACTAGAGATGAAACGGATATCCGGTATCTGGCCTATCCGGCAATGGTTTCACTATTCGGCCTGATACTGGATAATAAATCAGTATCCGGCCGGATTTCGGATAGTAAAATTTAAGAAAATCTCATGGTTATACAAAGGCAATTAATACCACAATAGGTTATGGACAAATTTTATTTTTATAATCGCACGTCAAAAGCGATTGGTTTTTAATTAGTTTGTTTAATACTCAAAATTAACAAGTGGAAAATTGTGGTGAATGAATACCAGATTGTGTTCGTACCGAGTCGTCGCGAGTCTCCGCTCACGTGCGACAACACTCGAACGCGCGCGAATATTTCCGAAAGGGCCGAATATCCGGCGCTCCGGCATCGCAGTTTGCCGAATATTCGGTACCTGGTATCCGGCCAAACCACTATGTTTCATCTCTAGTTACAACGGCTGCCCCACCCTTCAAACCGAAACGCATTACCTACTGCTTCACGACAGAAATAGGCAGGGTGGTTGTAACTACCCGTGCGGACTCACAAGAGGTCCTACCACCAGTCAATATCATTATCAGCATTATCTATCTCACATTTATTATTATTTATTTATTTATTACACTTCATATAAAATTTACATATAAGGCATTCTCTACCAGTCAACCAAAGGTAGTGCAGAGTAAATAGTGGTAGGTGCTATGAAATTATTATACACATTTATATTAGTATATATTTAATTACAGCGTATGTTTCCTCTGCTCAAAGATGTCATTTCATTCATAAATGGTGCGACCAATTCACTTGTCTCAATTCAGAATAAAGGAGCCTGTAATTTTTTGTACACCAACGCTTGTAATAGGCAGCCGCTTGGCTGTGCTCCCGGGCTTTGCTGATGTCCATGAGCGACAGGAACCACTTATCATCACGTGGGCGTTCTGACCACAAACAAAAAGTTAAACATTAAACATAAAAAGTACAAGCGGTCTTGACACTCACTTTCTGGCAACCGTCACGAGTCATCTAAGCAAATATATGATTCACTGTGTACATATACCGGTTGAAAAGAAATAAAACCAAAAAATGGTGCGCGTGCAAACTTGGTGCACATGAAAGAAGTGAAACTTCTTTTGCGGTCTGCAGTATTGTGGTGTTCTTCACATTTCATCCTTAAATATTTTTTTTCTTGTAACAGGGAATGTTGTGTATAAGAGAAACGACCTAGTTCGCTTTGTCCTCTCCCCTCTCTCCACGGTCGTATGGTACGCGAGACGTTCAGTATATTTTCTCACTCGCTCTTCCTAAATTGTATCTTTCCTCTCTAGCCGTAACGAATCCGTCTCGAGTTAAATTTTACTCTCAACGCGCCTAAAGAAGTTTTACTTCAATAACATTCAGATCGGATCTAAAGTAACAAAAACGGTGTTGGTTTTAGAATCTTTACTCCAACTTCGGCGAGATCGGGCAAACCATCAAGTCTCTGATGGAGGAGTTTCAGACGAAAGCGAAGAGCAACCAGAAAGTGGAGAGCATCAGCGATATGAAAAATTTCGTGGAACAGTACCCACTCTTCAAGGTAAGGCTGGACTTACAAGAAGACTCACAATATTCACGCTGGACTCGAAGAAGACTGACTACATTCTGTCACGCTTCGATGTCATCTTGTGTATAGTCTTACTGTAGTGTAGTGTTACTGAGATCTTTTCAGTTGACTTTTTGGAGGATCTCGAGAAGTGACGTTCGGCGGCTTTGTTTAATTTTCCCACATTTGTGCACTTTCACAGATATTAAACAGTTAATAAACCACCGTTATTACACATTTAAACCTGAAGAAACACTAAATAGACAAAATAAAACAAATCACACAACTTCACTACTCGCGTTCCCGCCAAAAAGTCCAAAAATTATTATTTTTTAAATAAAGAAGAAGGGTTGCCGTGTCCGGAGGTTCCAACCCTAGTTGTGATTGTGCGCGGATGACTCCTCATTTCCCCCGTCGTGTGCGCAGAAAATGTCTGGCACGGTGACGAAGCACGTGACCGTGGTGGGGGAGCTCTCGGCCTGTGTCGGCCGCCACAAGCTGCTCGAGGTCTCCGAGCTGGAGCAGGAGATCGTCTGCCAGTCAGACCACTCTAAACACCTGCAGGTTCGCTCGATCACTACCTCATCACTCAGTTAAGGACACAGTCATGCTGTATGTTGTCGTCCTCTTTGGACATGATCTGGTTTACTGCATAGGTGGATGGAAGTGGTTACTGGAGCCCATAGACATCTACAACGTAAATGCCGCCACTCACCTTGAGATATGAGTTGTAAGGTCTCAGTATAGTTACAACGGCTACCCCACCCTTCAAACCGAAACGCATTACTGCTTCACGGCAGAAATATGTGGCGTGGTGGTACCTACCCGTGCGGACTCACAAGAGGTCCTTACACTAGTAATATTTAACCCATTTTGTCCGCGGCGGTGGAAGTAATTTGTCACCAAGTAGGTATTGCCTTAGAACAGGGTTATAGTTGCTGTGGAATTTGCACAGTGATGTGGCTTTTTATACACTGTATAGATAGGTTTGGAAGGTAATAATCTTTATCTCTTTGGAAGATCTTTAACCGAGTGGCTGATATTACTCGGTTAGACCAACGGCTTACGATGTCTAAGGCCTAGTGGTCCGTACGTGGTGTGTGGGTGAGGGTGTGCGGGTAGCGTGACGTCACTGTCCCGTAGCGGCTGAAGGCGCTGCTACGACGTCTAGTGCCTAGTGGTCCGTACGTGGNTGGAAGTAATTTGTCACCAAGTAGGTATTGCCTTAGAACAGGGTTATAGTTGCTGCGGAGTTTGCACAGTGGTGTAGCTTTTTATACACTGTATAGATAGGTTGGAAGGTAATAATCTTTATCTCTTTGGAAGATCTTTAACCGAGTGGCTGATATTACTCGGTTAGACCAACGGCTTACGATGTCTAAGGCCTAGTGGTCCGTACGTGGTGTGTGGGTGAGGGTGTGCGGGTAGCGTGACGTCACTGTCCCGTAGCGGCTGAAGGCGCTGCTACGACGTCTAGTGCCTAGTGGTCCGTACGTGGGGTCCGGGGTGAGGGTGTGCGGGTAGAGTGACGTCACTGTCCCGGCACAGCGGCTGAAGGCGCTGCTGGCGGACGGCGCGCTCCGGGACAGCGACGCGGCGCGGCTGGCGAGCCTGTACGCGCTGCGCTACGAGAAGCACGCGGGGCAGGGGGTGGGGGCGGCGCTGGAGCTGCTGCGGGCGCGGGGGGCGGCGGACGGGGCTCCGCTGGCCGCGCTCGAGTACGGCGGGGCGCACGCGCGACACGGCGACCTCTTCGGTCTGCAGGACGCGGTCAAGATCACCAACAGACTCTTCAAGGTAATGTAGAATAATCCAGACACCTACAGATTTATGATCGCTCAGTTCCTATAATTCTTATTATTAGCACGCCAATCAAGTGCCGTGTCCGCAAGGCTTCACACCCGTCTGTATCTATAACAACATGATGGCTTGAATGTTTCAATACACAAAATATTATTTTAATAACCTAAAAGTACATGTTATTATCCGCAACACGCTTCGTCAGATTACAGAAATAGTTACCAGCAACATGCTTCGTCAAAAAGTGCAATACTTACTTTCAGCTACATGCGTCGTCATAAGTAACATATAGGTCCACGCTAACAGCAATGCGCGCGTAGGCATCGGCTAGTCAAACAAGCCACTCTGGATCGCAACCGGCCCGAAAGTACCCATGTCTCAATTGAGTCTTCCATCTCCTGTCTCATACTGCCGAGCTGGAGATAAAGGACCATTGCGCCCTCTGTGCCAGTAAAAATATAATTTGAGATTGCATAAGCTCCAATAACCTCCCCTAGGTTTCTCTTATGCAATCATAGTCGGGTACTTGCATTATACTTATGATAAGACCGGAATAGAATAACCGGAAATAAGACGAATAAAAAAATCTCTCATAATTTGTTTACGCCTTAGTAATTACATAATTTTTTTTTTTTTTTTTTATTGCTTAGATGTGTGGACGAGCTCACAGCCCACCTGGTGTTAAGTGGTTACTGGAGCCCATAGACATCTGCAACGTAAATGCGCCACCCACCTTGAGATACAAGTTCTAAGGTCTCAAGTATAGTTATAACGGCTGCCCCACCCTTCGAACCGAAATACATTACTGCTTCACGGCGGAAATAGGCGGGGTGGTGGTACCTACCCGCGCGGACTCCTAAGAGGTCCTACCACCAGTGATTACGCAAATTATAATTTTGCGGGTTTCACTTTTATTACACGGTGTTATTCCTTCACCGTGGAAGTCAATCGTGAACATTTGTTGAGTACGTATTTCATTAGAAAAATTGGTACCCGCCTGCGGGATTCGAACACCGGTGTATCGCTTCAACACGAATGCACCGGACGTCTTATCCGTTAGGCCACGACGACTATAAATATTAAAACATTAGCCGATAGCGCCTACCCAAAGAGCTACGTGTAGTATTCATCGTTGTGTACCGCATATTGATGCAAAGAGATTCGTATGAGCTAAACAAGTGTCCTAAACTATCAGGGTCTGAACGGCGTCGAAAACATATACACGCAACACACGCCCCCCCTGAAGGACACGATCGAGGATCTGTTGAGGGGCAAGCTGCGGGAGGCCCAGTACCCCACGCTGGGCGGGGACGACGGCCGCCGCCCCACGCACGTCGTCGTGTTCGTGGTGGGCGGGGCCACGTACGAGGAGTCGCTGTGCGTGCACCAGATCAACAAGGCCAACCCGGGGGCCAAGGTGGTGCTCGGCGGGACCACCATACACAACTCGGCGTCATTCTTCGAAGAAATAAAGTCGGCTATGCAGGGCGTGCACAGGACGCACACCAAACATATTAGGAACGTTTAGATGCGGTTTGACTGGTTGTGGAGGAAGCGTACCTAACTTATAACTCGGCGCCCAGCGGCTGTTAAAATAGACAAAACCAATCCAAACCAAACCAATTAGCGGTAGGCAGCGGCTTGGCTCTGCTCCTGGCATTGCTGAAGTCCATGGGCGACGGTAACCACTTACCGTTGGGTTAGGTGGGCCGTACGCTTGTCTGCCTATTAAGGCAATAAAAACAACATGTGTGCAATTCACACGTGGTAGAAGTGAAACCTTCCAAAATTAAAATACAATTATCCTAAACGTCTTAAGTATATGTAAAATTTTGTCATTAGTAAATAATTGTAAGGTAGCGCCCTCTGTGAATTGATATTTTAATTTCACGTATAATCCTAAATTAAAATTCACTACAAGAGCTTTCATACACACGTTAGTATTAAAAAATNTATCCTAAACGTCTTAAGTATATGTAAAATTTTGTCATTAGTAAATAATTGTAAGGTAGCGCCCTCTGTGAATTGATATTTTAATTTCACGTATAATCCTAAATTAAAATTCACTACAAGAGCTTTCATACACACGTTAGTATTAAAAAATCTCACAGATGGCACTGTATTAAATAGTATGTATATTTCTGTCTCATTCATCCTACACATTTTTGTATTTGTGTCTCTTACCTGTCGTTTTTTCCGTTGCATCCGGTTTGAAATCACAATGATTCTAAAAAGTTTTCACTTCAAAAAGTCACTTTTTGTTTAAGGATGGGTCAAATACAAAAACATATGTGTATTCATAACGGGCTTCGCCTTCGTAAAATAAGATATTTTAATTTTTCAATGGAAGTTCCCAAGCTATTTCTTTCTATTTGCGGTGAATAAAATGATAAAGCGATGAGTGTATTTTTATCATAACTTGTTATTTATTTGTTCTTTTATATTTTATTTTATTAGTCATAGGTAAATATTTATAATTATTGTAAGATTTTTGCAATATTTTCAAATTAAAATAGCTATTGCACTGTGATTTTTATTTTGTAAATATAATTCTAGCTTATATAAGTTTTGCTCGTGTTTGTATTATTTACGTAACGGTCTAAAGACCTAAAAATGTTATGATTTCAATAAACTTTAATAATCACATTTCGAACATGTCTATTATTCATTAAATTTAATCCTGTAATTACAAGTACAAGTATTGTAGATATAATTGAAATTGCTTTATAAACGAGATTCAAATGTTTATAATAAATATAATGTTAAAAATTTGTGTTTTCTGTATACGCACGAAATCAAACATCGGGAATAAAGGTTTTCTTTTAAATTTTAAAGAATCAACCCCAAAACGTGGGAGCATTTACAAAATAACACAAAGTAGTGTAGTGTAGAGTAGTGTGTGCATTGGATAATTATCATTTGGGACAATCATTTTTTATGATTGAAAATAATAGCTTGTGTTGAATTTTGTGGGTACCCTGAAAGAAAGTAAAAAAAAAGGTCAAATAAAACGCTCAACTGTTGTGTTCAAAACACATTTTTTTTAAACTTTTTATTGAAAAATAACGACAGGTCTTAAATGTCGTTCAACAAAACCGACCGAACCTCATTGGTGGACGTTACAGCGAACACAATAGAAACCAAACATTCGTTGTCTTGTCGTGTCGTGACGTTGTCGTGAGCGCGTCGTGCCGCTGTCGCGCGAACCAATGAGAGGACGGTCCTTCGAAAAGTGCCAGAACAGTTTTATTTTTGGCACTTGCTGTAGTGGATCGCGTATGGCGCGACATTCACGAAAATAATAATGGATTTGTTTATAATTGTTTTTATATTTTAACGAAGATTGTTCTAACGTTCTGGATCCGGGATGAGCATTTATGTACATTCTTTATGATGTGTGCGATGACGTTGAGAGATAGCGTTCGGGCAGTCGAGTCATTTGCCTGATCCCTAAAATTTACTAAAAGTGATTTCCAGTGCATCTCAAAGCCGTCATAGTTCGACAAACTGAATTTAATACTTTCAGAATTTTAATGGATCAAAATTTTATAGAGTACGCAAGTTTTCTTTTTAAATATTGTTCAAGTAAATATATTCTAGAGATCAGACAATTAGTTCTTGTATTCAAAACGACTTAAACTATTTATGAAATAAACAAAATGAGGGTTACTCTGCTTGGGGAGTATATTTCTTTAAATTTGAAATTTGTAGTTATTATTGCGTTAAAATTCGTTTACCCTCAATCTATCTATATATATTATGTATATATTGGCTTCTGTTTCAACTTAAGATAATATTTGCCATAGGACATGATTTAACCAAATTTCTTTTAACGTCTATCCCGACTCGTCCCAGTAAACACGGATCGCACACAATCTACACAGCACGCGTTGGCGCGCACGCATTTAGGCTCATACATTTTTTTTTACAATAACAATAAAAAAAAATCCAATCTTACATAATACTCCGGCTTCATCCACACATTTTTTCCTTCAGTCTTTATTATATTACACAAAAAGGCGTCACGTTTTCATTAATATAATATAAAAAAATGGCGAACGAAAACAAATTCAATTTCGCTAACGTCCAAAGCGCGTGGACCAATGTGATTATTTGGCAAAAAAAGAAAGGGAACGCCGGCCATAGTGACTTTGGTTGACTTCAGGCGGTTTAATAGATAGAGTAAGAGAGACAAACATAATATTTATTAAAACATTTCTAATTTAAACTTTTGAAATCTATTATTATTTATTCCCAAAATTGCACAACTTTTTTCTCAAATCATTATGAAACCCAAAACTTCCTAAATAAATTCTTATGCTTCTCAGTTCATAATTATCACTGTTCACTTAAATTTATGCATACTTTCAACCCACTGAGTTTCTCGCCGGATTTTCTCAGTGGGTCGCGATTCCGATCCGGTAGTAGATTCTGCGAAGCACTGCTCTTGCTAGGGCTAGCGTTAGGATACTCTCTCAGGTCGAGCCAGTGAGTCCCTTAGGCTACCAGTAAAAATGTAGGGGGAAAAAAGAAACATACTTTCCGGTTCTGATTTCAGGAAAGTTCATGATAAAATTGGATTTATAAAATAAAATATTAAATGTATATTGCGAGTTTACCGAGCACATTAAACCGCTCGAAGATTACAACGAGACTTTGTTAATTCTGCAAAACGTTAACGCAAAACAAAACGCTCTGGTTTAAAAAAAAAACCCAAACTGAAGAATTCATATTAATAGGAATGGCAACATAATAAAATTCATTGCATTTTTACCGCCTTTTTTCTAGATTTTTTTTTAAAAACAATGTTGCCATACGTAAAAAACTCCCGAAAAGATTAAGAAAAATAATTCATTTTTTTTTTGTTCTCTTTATAATAATGAAAACGCAACGCTTAGCACACGCGTCGATAACAATCGTTCATACACGCCCGACGTACGGGTAATAAGGCAATCTCTAGTTATCTAAGATTAAATGGTCGTTTCAACCATTAAAGCGACTCACATTTTTTTTTTGTTAAATTTACGCACTGATTTTGGGTTCGAGTCACAATTGTTTTTTTTTTTTTAGTTATTCGAAAACTGAAATGCTCATTTTTTTTTAAATTTAAGGCAAACAAATTTGAAATGCTTCCTTAGACTCGACGGCTTACAAACTTTCCTTTTTTTATATATTATAAGCCTCGTAGGTGCACAAGTACAACAAATGCAAACCCAAAATCAATGTTCACAGTCATGTGCCACTTAAAACATCACCTTAGCATCATCAAGACATACAATTATGAGCTGCACACACATACAGAGATCTCGGTGCAAGCCCGCCCCGTTCAAACACTTATTACAAATAGCGTAACAGGAAAACAGCCGTGTTCGTCAAGACAGACGTCACGCGACAGCGGATACTTGCAAATCCCACACGGGCTCGCCTAGGAAAGCCGGCCGATTACGAACCTTATCGCCGGTTCGATTAAGANCATCAAGACATACAATTATGAGCTGCACACACATACAGAGATCTCGGTGCAAGCCCGCCCCGTTCAAACACTTATTACAAATAGCGTAACAGGAAAACAGCCGTGTTCGTCAAGACAGACGTCACGCGACAGCGGATACTTGCAAATCCCACACGGGCTCGCCTAGGAAAGCCGGCCGATTACGAACCTTATCGCCGGTTCGATTAAGACCGTTATTCGCGTAGTCTCAACAAGGCACCGATATACCTTATCTTCGTATAGGAGCTGACCAATCAGGGCGCGGCAAGGTGCGCGCTTGATCGAAATCCGTACTAAATGCTATAGCAATGTGCGTAAGCCACAGTTCTAGCTAGTACCCAGTGGCGCCCCCCGGCGGCAAGGCGCGCGCGGACGCACTGGAATTACGTAAGACCACAACCTGCGTACGGAAAACTTATAAGGAGCAAAGTTCCCGTACGTTTTTCGTTGAAAATCGAGGACAAACTCAAGTTACATAATAAGACGACGCAACAGTCGCCTCAGATGGCGCCACACTCGAAATTAAAAACAACTAGTGTTGTGACACTTCGAAAAATAATTACATCGTTACAAAAAAAAAAAATACACTTTCATACGTAAAATGCGCACAACAAACAACACACGCTCATCACGTTTTACATATACACATATCTGACAGAGTACCAACAAACGAATACGCGGACGCAACAATAAAATTTTTATTACAACAAAAAAAAAAGAAAAAAAAAAGATAAACATATACATATAGAAGAACGATATTTTAATTGTATTCGAGGCCCGGCGCCATGTTCTCGGGTGAGAAAAATCTAGAACTATCGCTTCGAACATGGCGCGGGTCTGGTAGGCCCTCTCCGAACAATTTAATCATATTTTTTTTTGTGATTTTTTCTATGATAATTTTTTTTTGTATAATTTGAAAAATCTTTTTACATCACAAATATTTATATAGTATTTATAGAAGCCGTTTTTTTTATGCGTGCGGGAGGACGCAAACTCTCTCCCCCATCATCATCCCCTATATTTACATATGTACAAACGTTTTTTTAATCCGATATTATAGCGATTTATACACGGGAATTCATCCAGTTGAAATTATCGATAAGTTACAATAACAACTAGTTACCCTAAGTGAATCGCGTCTGCGGTTTCTACGATTCGTCTAAAATCATTTATTTATTATACATATATTAACATTTGACAATGTCATATTGAACTAAGCATAGCGCTCAAGTAACTCAACGCACTAGCGTCGACATTCGATATCATCGTAAGAGTGCATCACTATTCACGAGCGCGTGCCACAAACGATTCATGTGTGTTATCAATGTGAATACCAACGTCCACATTTGGCGCTACCCAGGGAGCACCGCGCGGAGGTCATGGACTAAGCTCCCCTTGATGCCGTCATCACAAATCATCACACCACCGGTATCGATAAAAGCTCGGGCTGCGTTTATCGACAACGACCTTTCACATCACTACAACGAAGGGAATAAGAGAAGTCTTTTATCGTGCATTCGTTACGTAGACGGCGCACGTCAAGTGACTGTCCGAGTCACAGATGACGAACGCGAGAATCTTATCGTATCTCTAAGCCTACGTTTTATTGTCACGCCAACTTTCAACAGTCGCCGGGTACATTTACATACATAATATAATATAAAACCTTTAACATCGCTACCTTTTTTTATATAGTTTGGAATACATAATATAAATGTTATCAATTCGTTCATAGAGATATTTATACGATTTATTTTATTTACTTTAATTTGCATCTATTATATTATATTATATTACATTAGTGAAGATGATCACGGACAGAAATCGAACACGCGGTCCGCCCTCCGCTCGCACACCGCAACCCGTTACTATTATATTAATTTATATGTATACTGTATATATATGTAGTTATAATTTACAGACCCTATTTTATAAATCGTCCAAAAAAAAAAAGACATTGTATATATTTGCCCGACTAGTGTCGCAATAAACGCCTGCAAATGAATCGACAAATTAACGTTAATGTATGCATAATATATTAATTATTACAGTACAAATTTTTTTATAGGATAACCTAATGCGGAATGTAACCAAGCTTTCGTGGATGAACGAAATCAAGATGCAAGCAATAAAAACACGTAACAACAACAAATATATGAGAGATAATTTTTTTAAACTGTCGTAGTGTACAAATGAGTGAAACTTGGGTCTGTGACCGTAGACTCTCCAACGTGCTATGGAAACGCGTTTGTCGTCACAAGTCTGTTTGGATAGAACCAGGAATGATGTACGCCAAAGAAACAGGGTCAGTAACTTAGTACCGGATCAACAAATAAAAAACCGGTTAATTGAAGTGGAAATTGACCAGCAATATCGATCGTAAAGTGATTGAGGCGGGAGGGCTCTAAAATACCTTTTGGGAGGGAGTGAATGCGAAAGACAACGCGGCCCAATAAATAGGGAGCACTTTGGGAGAGGCACAGACTGAATGTTGAATATGACTGGTGGTTAGACCTCTTGTGAGTCCGCACGGGCATGTACCACCACCCTGCCTATTTCGGCCGTGAAGCAGTAATGCGTTTCGGTTTGAAGGGTGGGGCAGCCGTAGTAACTATACTGAGACCTTAGAACTTATATCTCAAGGTGGGTGGCGCATTTGCGTTGTGGATGTCTATGGGCTCCAGTAACCACTTAACACCAGGTGGGCTGTGAGCTCGTTCACCTATATAAGCAATAAATAAAAAAATAATGGCGGCGTCTAATAACTATATTATATTGCTCACAGCACGCACGTTAGAATATGCGTTGAGTGCGCATTTCATTCGTGACAAAGGCATCTGCCCACTGCTCTAAACAAACACTCTATGAAGCAATAATAGACGCATACCAATAAAATTATACATACACTTTGCACCAAAATATATTATGCATACACAACCGAGCAGAATCGAGGAATAGTTTTATAGTCCACGCGACAATATCTCTATCCTTCTAAGCACGTCCAAGCAGAATTAGAGCGCGGTAATCAATATAGAAAAATAATAATTCGTTGACGTATATAAGTCGCGTTACTGCCCGCGATGACGTCACAAGGCAGCGAACACCCCCCCAACCCTCCTCGAGCACTGCTGCCCGCCACGAGACGTTACAACACAGTAAATGCATTACATGAAACTTCGATTCAAACTATTTAACCGTAATTGACCCAAAATTAGCATCGTTCATCGCGGAGTGTATCAACAATTAAAAACTTCTTTTTTTTTCTTTCAAATAAATACAACTCTAAAATCGCAACGACGAAGCAGCGATGAAGAGTTACAAAAAAAAAAAAACATTAACACGTACACTAGAAATTGTGAAAATCATGAAAAATAAACTCTCAATTATTGTCAATGTCCATGTCACATTGACAGCAACGCATCAAGCATCTAGGAATCCCATCAATATATCGCGACAAACGTTATCTAAACACAACAAAACTATCTTCCGCGACTTCCCGTTAAATATAAGGCAACTTTTCCAATAAATATTTTTCATCAATTGTTTCTTCGTTCAACAATTCACACAATTTCAATGCGAGTGCAATTAAAATTTAGTAATTTATATAATACATAGGAATTCTTAACAACAACACACATAGTCACATCACATTCCCAAATCCGATGCTACGCTTATACAGGATTTAAAAAAAAAACAATCATACACATTACTCATTTACAATAATTACATTAATACCCCACTTTGCCCCCGCCTTTATACTAAGTTTTTTTTTTCACATCTGACAACACTCGACTACGTTAGTGTTGCCAACACAATAGAATCGTATTAGTAAGATCACACAATGCACTGACGTTCATTGGTGTTCAGTATCCGAAATATTTTCGATTATTTTTCTATTAAAATTTTAAAGGTCTCTAATTCATCAGCGGAATGAAAGTCTAATGTTCGGAAACGTACAAAAACGTTCGATTACGATTTGTTTTTTTATCATAATCACATTTTTTCACAGTCATGGCTAATAATAGTTGTTTTTCAGAACTGTCTTCATTTAACTATCAAGTTTTTTGTATCCTTCGAGCACAGTGTTGTTGCTATAATTTGTTCATTAGTCCGAAAACACTGAAGTGTTCATTTCTTCATTTTCGTTTTGTTCATGCTCACGGTAAGTCTGTGCGTGTTTCTCCAAGTATCATCATCATCAAGAAACTCACTTTTCAAAAACTCACAGCTGAATTTGAATCTGTACCAAATTGGACCGAACACTTGTATAGTAGTTCTGAGGCGGTTCACTTGTCGTTCACCAACTTCACTGATCTGGCGAAGCGCAGTATGATGACGTCAAAGAATCGTTCCATGTAGTCTATGGTGTAGGTGGCGGTGACGTCACCCCTGGGCGCGGTGTACAGCAGGGGCAGGGCCGAGGTGCGGCGGGGTTACGGGTGCGAGGGGGGGTGCAGGGCGGGGGTCGTCGACCCGGCGGGGTGGGGCGGCAGCAACACCCCCTGTAACCGACATCGACTCCTTAGGTGTCATCTTCAACGCCTATCAGTCCACTGCGCAACATACATATCTCTCACTAATTTCAGTTAACCTTTTGCACTCCGCGGTCGTCGACAACGCGGCTTTCCAAAATATGTAAATTTAAATGACGTCACATTTCTCATTTACTTTTATCACGTTTACTGTTAAAAATACGGCCAAGGAATAATGACTTTTGGGGACATTGTAGATATAGTACTCGAATCAATAAGTTGGGAGTGCAAAACGTTAAATGTATGTTTTTATAGTTGAGAAAACTAATTATTAACATTAAACTCTTGGAGAACGCCATTATTATTACAACGAAGATTTTGAAAATGATTATCAAAATTGAGTAGTCACCTGTAGAGCGTGAGGGTGTGGCTGCGGCGGCGAGGCGGTCGGCGGCGCGTGGTTGAGATACGTCAGATGGGGGTGGTGGTGGTGGTGATGGTGGGACGTGCTGCCGCCAGGACCCATCACCGGGCACAGCACCTGTCATCACAGTCATCACATTTAATAAAACTATTCAACGAAAATTTACGTAGCTACTCAGTTCTTAAAAACAAACTGAAATTAGACACATCCAGGTGGTTGGTAAAAATCGTAATATTTAACAAAAATTTATAGATTATCTAAAAATTTACGCTGCCATATTCTAAGCATTTGAGGATAGTAAGAGAGGCAGTAATGATTTCAAAACCAAAGTCTGACAAGTCCCAACAAATAAAGTGTCTTGACGTCGTGGGGTACGGCTTACCGGAAACTGTTGCTGGTAGTGGTGGTGGGGATGTGGGTGCGGCGTGTGCGCGGGCGAGGGGGGCGGGTACAGCGCGGGGGAGGCCGCGGCGGGGGGAGGCGCGCTCGTGTAGCCCGCGCCCTCTCCGCCGCCAGGGTACAGCCGGACCTGGACGAACGCATCAATGTATAGCAAATTTAATTGCACGAGCCAACGACCCCCTAGAGTTATTGGTTTTGTTCTTAACCTGACAGATCCATGCGCCCCAGCGAATTTAACACCAGCTCTAGGTTAGCCAATCACGGGATAATTGACCTTCTTGCGTGATGGCCCTAGGCCTAAGTTTGCACGCATTATGTGAGGTACGAGTAAGGCAAGACTCACCATGTGCTGGTAGGAGATGGCCGGCTGCGGATGCGGTGGCGGGTGCGGGTACGGCATGAAGGGCTGCATGGGCGCCGGGGTCAGCAGGGGCTGGCCGGTGGCCGCTGCGACCTGCATGCCGGAGCCGACGCCCACTGGACCAGAACAATATTCATTAATTGAAGACATGAATGGATGACGGGGTTAAGTACCAAGGTGTTATGTGCCTATACACCATATTAGACCTTAAAACTCCGGGTTTAAAAGCTATTTTTAGAAATTGCATGTGATGAAGGAGTTCTGTACGAAGAAATACTACAAGTAAAAGTACAAACATTTGTTGCCCGTTTTCTCAAAATTAAGAAAAAAAGGAATCATCATGTCCCCTTCATCCACTCATGTCTTCATTTATCTACAATGGTCTTAGGATGGTCACAACAAATTTCCTGAGATAGATACCATACTGTTACGGAAAGGGAGAAGTAATAAAATTTGCCCCTTTTTTTAAGCTTTCCGTTGAGTTTTTGTATCATTTCAAATATATGACTATCAACATCCCATAGTAACGGTAGAATAATAATTCAATCTAATCTTATATAATTAAATAAGTAATCCCTATATTAATATCGTTCATCTCGGAAATGAGTCATAACAATTTCAATCAAGTTTTGGTATTTAGATAAGGTTTGATTATTTCAGTCTGTTATAATTAAAATATAATAATATGATGTAAATGGGGAATGCTCAGTCGATCAGGTATTTCAATATTTGACTGACTCGATGGTGCAGTAATTAGCGACCCAAACTGTTGCAAGAGTTCGATTCCCACAACGGGCAAACATTGTGTAATGAAGAGGTTTGTTTGCTCTTTGTCTGGGTGTTTGTTTGTTATCTATGAATGTATATATTTAAAGGTATATAAGAATATATGTCATAATCACAACGATGTTAAAGAAGTTCTCACTTAAAAACCTAAGTGTCAGGTGGTCCAACGAAGGCAGCTAAGTGGAATGTCTCATCATTCTCCTGCCCTTCTCCCAGTCATCTGGGGTCGGCGCAACCTGTTTTCTCCTTTCATACTCCTCAATCATATATCATTTCTTCGCTCACCCCCTCTTACACATCTTCTTTCACGCAATCCATCCATTTCTTCTTAGGTCTACTTCTTCCTCTATATCCTTCCAGATTCATAGTTAACACTCTCATATCAACCTCATTGTCATTTCGTCTCATCACATGTCCATACCATCCCAAGAGCGCACTTTTCAACTCCTCTGTCACAGGTGCCACTTTCAGACTTCCTCTAACATATTCGTTCCGTATTCTATCCATCCTCGTTACTCCACACATCCATCGCAACATTCCCATCTCTACTGTATGTAAGTGGAATGTCATACGAATGGGATACTCACTCTTTCTGAAGTTTCTCTGCTGCTGTGTGGGTATGGGCGCGTGCTGGCCGGCGCCGGCTGCCACCCCGGCCCCGCCTCCCATTGCCGCTCCATACGCCAGCTAAAAAACAACAACCACATTCTCCTTAATAGCCCTCGACTAAATAAAAACTAAAACCGATTTATCAAACAACTATTATGTTCATCGGCTACTATGATGCTTTTGAAAATGTATCAAGTTATACAACATAGTTACAATTACTAGGGTTGTCACATATTGTTTAGTTGATTAATGGTATTTGGCAAACTAGGCTTGAAACAGGTTAAAACATATTGCGCGATGTGCATAGCAAATTCCTCAAAAGGGTTCCGATTTAAATGTATATTTATTGTATAAAATTTTCGTTTTAAATATAATTAAGATTAAGTCGAAAATTCCGCAAGGTCAAGATTTCATAACAGAGCAGAGATAAAACAATTCGCATAACGATAACGTATCCGAGAGCACGTAATGAGCAAATGACAAAATTGATGCAATTTTAATGTCAATTAACTATCTGATAACCGCTGAACTTTCATGTACTGGAAAACATAAGCATTCTGTTAAAGATTGTACAAATTGTTGTTTTACAAATAATTCCGATGGAGGAATATTACGGAAAGTAATAAGGGGCGTTTCTGAATGAAAACCACTTATGTTAAAAGGTGGCCGTGAAATTAGGACGTGACAATGAAATAATGGACAAAAATGAGGATTCATTTGATTTATTTTTGATAAGATAAACGTTGAATTACAACGGGCTATGTTAGGCATTTCTCTAGGGAATAGGGTGCGCAATACCGAAATCCGCAGAAGATCTGGTTTGTTGGACATAGCCAAAGAGATTTCTCGGAGAAATTGGAAGTGGACCCGTCACATATGCCGTCGCACTGAGAATCGGTGGAGCAAAGAAGTAGTGGAATGGCCACGTCGTACTGGACGTCGTAACGTGGGCAGACAATCAAATAGATGGACCGATGACCTGGTCAATATAGCTAGTAGGGATTGGATGCGAAAGACAAGAAACCGAAGGAAATGGAGTGCATGTGAAGAAACCTACACTCAGCATTAGATGAACACGAGTTGAAGAAGAAGAACAATGTCAAAATAAGAACATAAACATCTGTTTGTTCGTGCATTAAGCATCCACAATTCGTAGTGTAATATAGCATAATACCATCAACGTACAAAGGAAGGGGATATCATCGATGTGCGCCACGAAGCAAGTACGCGTTCTGGTTTGAGGAGTGAGACAGTGGTTATAGAATACATTTTAGACTTCGATTTCGCCTATCAAGACCGGCAGCTGTGTCTAAGCCGTCAAAATATCCACGTACCACAATGACGGATTTATGTCGAGGCCCGTGAGGCCCAGACTTAGGGTGGCATGAATTTGAGGGGCGGCAAATTTTTTGAAAAACAAAAATTTCAGAGACAAAGGACATCTTCTTCATTTTCTTTGAAAATTAGTTCAGATAAAATGCCGCGCGATATTCAGGGCCTAAATCCATCATTGTCGGCACATCAAGAGCCATATAAACAATCGTTTACTTATTATAGACAGTGAGAGCGCGAAGCGTGATCAGATTTCACTTTAGTTTAATTGCCTCGAAAAAAGTAGGTGTCGTCAACAAATATTGTATGTATTTTAATTAAATATTTATTTATCGATCACATTACATATCGGGTTGTAATTAAATGCGATAACTCAACTCTGTCATATGCGAAGTCAGTCTTAATCTAACACGCGATAAGTGAAAATGTGGCATTTTTCTTTAATATTCCTCCCTGTACTATTTTTTTATTATAAGCTGGCATTAAATAAGTTTTACTCGAAGGCTATCCTAACCGGGAAGGTCATTATAATAACAGGAACTAATCGAGTCAGTTACGAGACGGCTTTGGACCTGGCAAAGAGGGGCGCCAGAGTTATTTTAACGTCAAGCGACAAAGATAAAGGGACTAAATTATTAAGAAAAATCATTAGAAAATCAAAGAATCAAAACGTAAGCTTTGAGTATACAAATTTCAACAGCTTAACATCAGTGAGGAAGTTTGTCGAAGGATTCAGAAACACACAACTAAAATTAGATGTTCTTGTGTTAAATAATGAAGTAAACGCGAGTGACAAAGACGTTGGAATATCACCACACGTTTCAAACTACTATGGACAATTTTTACTGACAATCTTATTGGTGCCGACATTAAAGAAGTCAGCACCGAGCCGGGTTATAGTGACGACCTCTTGTCTACAGAAATTTGGAAAAATAAATAATTTAAACGCCAAAGGATTTCAAAGTTATTTCAATTCAAAATTATGTTACGGTTTATTCAGTAGTGAACTATCGCAGAGGTTGGACAGCTACGGAGTGTCAGCGAGGAGTGCTGGTATAGGAATACTTTATGAGATTTTCAAAGGCACAATCTTTGAAAAGATTTTCTCAATGTACACTTCACAAAATGTAATACACTTGGCTGTCAGTGATGAGGAATTTGAGGATGACTTTGAAAACATTGATAAGAGAGACATTATAGGAAATTCAGCTGAAAAATTATGGGCAATGTCCGAAGAGTGGGTAAATTTGGAATCGAGTGAAAAAATTTAGTGATGTGATTGAATCAACATTAGACAATAAATATTTAATTTGATTAAGACTATTAATATAATTTAATCAGAATTCATATTGTTTCTTAATACACTTGCACAAGTAATAATGGGAAAGTGTTAATTTATTCCTCAATTATATTGTTTTAGTAAATACCTATTTACAAAATATTAGTTTTAAAGAAAATAAAATAAAATCACTCAAACGTAACAAAGTTAGTGACAAAAGGCAAACATGAAAAAAAAATGTTACTTCATTTAGTTTGGTTAATGTTTTCTTTATCTTCACTCTGTCTAACTTAAGTCTAGTTATAATGAGTTTGGTGTTGATAAGTCATATCATTGCCTGGCTTCAGTGTACACATTTTAAATTAACTTTGTCCAGTAGTTAGATTTCGCGTTTTTAACACGTTGAAGGCTTTTAGTCCCACCGGTGGGCCTAGCATACTACTTAATATACCATTCGGGCCAAGCCAAAATCAAGGAATCAGTCATTTTTATCAAATTGAGATTTTCCTTCATACGATTATTTGCCAAAAATTAGTTAGTTTTACCGTCTAGTTTAGTTACTTTAAAAGGCTCACGGGTGACCCTCATTGCACGAACGGTTCAGTAAGATTAGGCTCACCGGTGAGCACCGTGACCTAAATGAAAATACTCGATTTTTCATATGGCGTTCAACGTGTTAATTATTATTTATTGCTTTAGTTAGTTGTGCATACCTGAGTTTACTTATGTATGTATATGTATATTGTAAATTTATTAGGACAATTTATTCTAACATTATATAAGTTCAATGTGTCAAAAACTAATTGCATCTTTCATTGAAATCAATAATTAAAAATCCTGTTAATGTAATTCAATAAAAAATGGCTTTTATATGTAAATATATTGGACACTAATAAACTTACAGTGAAAATAATAATTACATCGAACTAATTACGTAAAATCTAATAAAAAGGGAGATTAATAGACAAAAAAGAATGAGCAGCTTCTGTGTGCTTAGTGTGAGATTTTTAACGTTCTCGATAGCGTAAAAGTTAACTCAAATCGCGTACGCAGTACTCAAATGTACGCAGTTGGAACAACGCCCCTAAACGGCAAAGGTAGGCAAACGATCCAACTCCATACAGATTTGAGTTAACTTTTACGCTATCGAGAACGTTAAAAAACTCGCTCTAAGCACACAGAATGAACCCATAACTTAGGTACAAAAAGCACATCCATAAGACGTGTATCATAACGCCAGTTTTCGTGTTTGGGTTGAGCAGAACAATGTTACGAACGAAGCGCACTATTAACGTTATTATTATTATTATTGGATCACTTCACTCGGGACAACACGCTGTTCGGGTTTAAGACACGGAATATTTACTAACGGCACATGTATTGGCGCCGACATACAGAAGTTCGATTGAAACTATAGCCTTAAAACAATATTGTCAACAACTTGTTTTTTTTTGTTCAATGTCTGGGCGATCTGTGGGCTTAGTGCGAGTTTTTTAACGTTCTCGATAGCGTGAAAGTTAATTCAAATTTGTATGGATTTGGAACAGCGCCCCTAGCGGCAAACGTTAGTAAGCTTTTACGCTATTGAGGACGTTAAAAACTGGCACTATGTGTTTAGTGCGAGTTTAACGTTCTCGATAGCGTAAAAGTTAACTCAAAGTTGTACGCAATTGAAACAGCGCCCCTAGCGGCAAACGTAGGCAAACGTTCCAACTCCATACAGATTTAAGTTAACTTTTACGTTATCGAGAACGTTAAAAAACTCGCACTAATCACACCGGTGCGTAAGGTGAATACTACTTAATTTACTTTGTTAGAGAATCTAATTTACAAATTTTAGATCACCAATACGAAATTTAAATTCATTAATATTTGAATGTTGTCATCGAACTAGGTAGGTGTATATAGTTGATATAATTATTCTGTTATCGGTTTATACAAGCAATATTCCGTGCGGTAAGCCCGTCATCTCACCGCGTCGGGGCGGTCGCGCTTGTCCGGCACCACGAATATGGGCGGCCCGTACTGACGGCAATCGCAGCTCAGCTCCATCTGTCGCACCCCAAACACAACGTAAAATGGGGGGAAATCGGGACATTTTTCCCCCAAACACACCGTAAAATGGGGGGAAATCGGGACTGTTTTTAAGTTCGACATTGATTTAAATCGTTTTTATAATAATAAACGAATCATAATAGGTTCCGGTAGTTTAAATTTTCATTTACAATGCATTAAAAAATATGGTTTATTAAAGAATATTCGCCCAGGCGTTGGGGTGAATCGGGTCGCGTAAGGGGACAATAGAGTTTTTCGATAGGGCTGCCAATATTTAGTTGCTAGGTAGGTAACCTATCTTTAGGTAATTAACTTTTTAATATCTTTAATGAGCTACGAAACTTTGATGACTAAATTAAACTATTTAATATTCTTAAACACTAAATAAAAGTCATTTTCAGTTGAAAGAACTCAACAAAAGTATTGTGACATCCCAGATTTGTCCCTATTGAAACCATTGCTTCGTGTCGCTAGTTCGAACCGAGCCCGCAATGTACACTGTACCATACCCGCGTGTTCGGGACGGGTCGATGACCGTTCAAGTCGATTCGTTATCTCACATCCGTCTCGGCTCCGAGAACGAATCCCTCGCGCCCTGCGTTCACTCACGTGACCCTTAAACTCGTCACGGCGCGATATTATCTAAGATTTACTACATTTTAGTGTTTTTACAACTTTAAACGCCTTGTACGGTAGATATGAGAGTTTAAGGGTTTATAAAATCACCGTATTATATTTTAATTTTAAATAATTACATAAATGGTAGGTGTCATTAATACTATCGTCTGCCTTCGTTTTCGGAAGCGGTCTCCTAACACCCAGTATAGACTATCCACATACTACACTTTTAGAGTGTATTTATTTAAAATGATTGTTTATAGTGTGAAACTTACCGCTGGATGCGGGTGCGGGAGATACGTGGGAGGCTGCTGGGTGGCAACCATCGCGTAGGGCACGGCTGCAACCTGTCGTCATAATAAAATACATTTTATTTTTTATTTTCTTTTATTGCCCTAGTAGGCAGACGAGCATACGTCCCCCACCTGATGGTGATGGTTACCGTCGCCCATTGACTTCAGCAATGCCAGGGACAGAGTCAAGCCGCTGCCTACCGCTTTTTAGTAGAATCACAGACGAGTTTGTATTAAAAACTAAATTCACTTAATTTTCACAAGCAATTTAGATATGTTGGCCAAGACAATTATTGGTAAATCAGAAAAACGAATTATTGACTTTGTATTCCATTGGCAGTCACAAAACTCTTCTGATCGACATCTTAGATAAATAACAGGTTAAGTATTAACCTTTATTTAATGCAGGTTTTGAACCGTATTCTTTGAAGGAGACGATTATATTCAAATCAATCTGTATTGACATATCAATAACATTTTTTTTGTCCAAATGCACAGATTGCCACCTTTGATAATAGACGACTCATTTACAGTATATTATACTTACAGTAGCTAAACTGAGCTCTTGTCTCTCTCTTTTATGACTCTCACTTTTTTGCACAGTGGCTTTATTTTTGTAATGCAAGCCACTGTCTCAGAACCATTAGTTGGGAAATTTCTTAAATATTTTGAAGTCTGACTTTGTGTTGGCGGATCACTGAGACCCTAACTCATAATATTAACAAGCACAGCGGACGCTAATGGTGCAGTACGTACCATGTGCGGGGGTCCGGGGTGTGCGGCGGGCACGTAGCCCAGCCCCGGGCCCATCACGCTCACTCCCGACAGCCCCACGCCCGACGGCGTGCCCGGCGTGTGTGGCCTGGATAATAACAATCTCAATTATACAACACAATAATAAATCATATGGCGATGTATCGTTACATACATAATATTTATGCTAACATTTATGCTACATAATATAATTTAGTGGAGCGTATTTTAGAATCTGCATAAATGTAGCAATATAGTGTTATATTACATGCCAGAATGAGAACCAGTCTTATTGGAATCGAAAAATATCTAAGCCAAGTTATCATTAGATATACGGATAGCAAATACGCGAATATGAAATTAAATTTCTTGATTTCGTCACAAGTTGACCAAGGCGCGTCGCAAAGCATAGCTCACCGGCTAGGTGTGGGCGTGGTTGGAGACCTTGGCGTGAAAGTTTTGACTGCAGGGTTGAATTCCTTCGCGTTGGGGTTGAGGGTAGACTTCTTGAGGGTGAGAGCCACTCCGGGGGAGACAGCTGCCGGACTCTCTCGCTCTGAGCCACTCTCAGTCTGCTGCTGTTGCGTTTGTTGTTGTGTAGAGACAGACTGCGGAGGAAATTCCAGTTTATATACCGTTAATGTGTAGGCTGCTTTATTAATAAAATAAACTTGTAACAATAATGTGGATCAATCAATCTATACTAATATTGTAAAGCTGAAGAGTTTGTTTGTTTGAACGCGCTAATCTCAAGAGCTACTGGTACGATTTGAAAAATTCTTTCAGTGTTAGATAGCCCATCTATCGAGGTAGGCTATAGGCTGTATAACATCACGCTAAGACCAATGCAAGCGGAGCACCAATAAAGAATGTTTCAAAATCGGAGTTTTAATCCCTTTTGAGAACTTTCACTGAGTGCGCTGCGGGAACGGTTAACACCTTCTACGTAAATGAAGTGGGGGTAAAATTTAGCGTTATGCCAAAGTAACTATTCCACGCGGACGAAGTCGCGACTAGTCTTTCAATAAAAATATTCGTTAATATTGGGCCTGAAACATAATTGTTCATTTTGGTTTTTCTTGATGTATTTAGGCTTAATCATTTGTATTATTGTACCTTATTATGATGTGCAGGAGGCGTCTGGTGGGGCGGAGGCCGCTTGTGGTGTTCGGGAGGAGCGCCGGACATCGCGGACACCTCCGGCGGCGAGCACGCGCGGTGGGACGCTTGCTGCACAACAACTTGCTGCACTTGTTGTTGTACTTGCTGTACTTGTTGTTGTACTTGCTGAACCTGTTGTTGGACTTGCTGAACCTGTTGTACTTGTTGAACCTGATGATAAAATATGATATTTACAAAATGAATAGGGTATTTTAATGCAGGTGTGTATGACCAGTATAAAAATGGTAATTCAATTAATAAAACTCAAAAGTGATCACTATACTTGAGACCTTAGAACTTATATCTCAAGGTGGGTGGCGCATTTATGTTGTAGATGTCTATGGGCTCCAGTAACCACTTAACACCAGGTGGGCTGTGAGCTCGTCCACCCGGCCCAGCAATAAACAAAAATAAAAAAAATGATTTCTTTGGATTCTTCATAGAAAACCTTTTGAAATTTAAATGTCTACTATATTGATATTAAAATGGATGGCATTTTTGTAATCAACATCTCGAGATATAGTGTAAATAGCGATTATTTATTTGGAGTTTTTTTTTTAAATATACGGATGTGGTAACTCACCGCAGGCTGTGGGTTATGTTGCGGATGCGTGGCGGCCGAGAGGGCGGTGGGGAGGGCGGCGGGGAGGGCGGGCTGCGCGGGGGGAGCGGGGGAAGACACCAACTTGAATTCTTGACCAAACTTACGAAGTTCCTGTAGTAAAATAACCAAATATTTAAATTGCATTGCAGTGTCAATGGTTAGCGTCGATCCTGCTTTCGTATTTTGTTTACGAGATTGATATTTGACCTTGAAACTAAATACATTTAATGTCGGTACTTGGCAGAACGTTTCTGATGTGAACGCAAAATAAGAAAGCACTCAAATAAATTTGCTAAATCTAACATTAGCCTAAATATGACCATGTATCTTGGTATAACATTCATCGTGACTTGCGTCCTAACTGCACCGACTTCCTACTTGCAGCAGCTCACTTTACATTAATCAATTTGATGTAACGGCGAAAAATTTACAGAACCAAGTGTTCCTAATGTGCACTCGTTTAAGTATTGTATAATGTCAATGAGTATGTATGTATGTTCAATTCATTTACCAAATGCATCTACCACACTTTTCTTTGTATCACTTTTGTTTTAGCGGTAAACAATGCTTGAAGTCCGTCAATGTATTAATAAAATACAAATAAATAGATATTTCTAGGAGGAGCGATTCTATTATCTATTTTGTGTCTAAATTGAATCGTGTTATTTTTTTGCTTATATTACTTCATCGTGAAGTCGTAGTTTATAAGTAAACTCAACACGACCGCGGTGCTGCGAGCGCGTCGCCGGCAGCCGTAATCGATTTAAGAATTAAATAAATATTTTATTAAATTCCGGAATCGATTTCAAGCGTTTCATAATAAAATGATATTGATTTATATAGACTAGTAGCTCTGCAGTAGTCGAGATTAATTTAAATTATAAGTTTTAACATTATTATGGTTCTATTGTCAAACACTATTATATTTCGATAATATGATCACAGTATTCGCCAAAACTGCACTATAGATCAATAATATTAAAGACAAACAATATTAATCTATTTTCAATTTGACCACAGACTTTAAAGAATAACAAAAGTTTCCCAATGGACAGTAAATAAACAGTATATTTTTATGTATGTGTTGTGTCAAATACATGGTAGTGTGTTAGTGTGTGTAATATTTTTTTTATTGATTTAACGTATTTCTTATGCATAATAAAAAAAAATTGCGTTCTGCACTCCTTCTCTATATACTCTATAAATGTAGGAAATAATATTATACTCCTTCGTCTGCGAAATTTTCGTAAAAAGGGGTGCAAAGTTTGCTTCGCGTGTTAATATATAGATGTACCTGCACTTCGTCCTGTCGGCGCGGCTCGGGCGCGTGCTGGTGGCGCGGCGGGCGCGGGTGCGGCTCCGTGCTCGCCGCCGCGTTCTGTAACATGCGACACGTGGAGTCAGCTCGACACAGCTAGCCGCTCTGTACGGTCTGACTTTGTTTAACCTTTTGACTGCCATGTACGTCACCGGTGCCTTAAGTGGCAAACTAAAGTAATATGTCGATTTTTTTTACTAAGTCACCGGAATATCTAGTATACTCTGGGAGAGACGAATCCGAACATACTAAGAATTCATCTATTTCTAAGTATCCATGAAAAACAAAAAAAGGCAAAAGTTAGCGCTAACAGAAATCAAAATAATTATTTAAGGGCGCCACGTAGGGTACCGGTGACCTACATGACAGTCAGAGTTAAGAAGTGTATATTTCATTTCAATCAAAGAATACTTTTCTTAATTTAGTACGCGAGTTTTATCAATAGCAGCGGAGGAATGAAAACGATTATAAATGTTAAACAAGCCATGTTTTTTTTTATTGCCCTTGCAAGCAGACGAGCATACGACCCACCTGATGGTGAGTGGTTACCGTCGCCCATGAACTTTAGCAATGCCAGGGGCAGAGCTAAGCCACTGCCTACCTAATATACGATGAACTTACGTGATGATGGTGCTGCTGTGGGAAGCTCTGCCTGGGATGCTGCGGGGGCGCCCGGGGTTCTCCGTTCACTTTACCGCTGCCAGAGCTCCCGTTATTTGGACTATTCCTAATATAAAACAACAATTAGTTTATTATGTCGACCAGGTTTTTGCGGATACAAAGTTTACATTTTTGAAGTTTTTGTTCACATTCAATGTAGACACCACTCGGCTATATAATTTGCAGCGAAGCAATCTACGTTCCAAACTCAAGGATGTGGCTACTACACTATATTGTAATTGTTGTAACTTAAGACTTTGGGTGTGGAGGATAGCGACGTTTGCGTTATGACATTAATCAGTGGGATTCCATTGCCATTGACCATTAATTGGAATAAGAGTCTGTTTACTCATCAAAGTTTTAGCACGCATGTTACATTCAAAATGATGAGTTGACGAGTACGCTTTTTTTTCCCTCCCTACCTATGCTGATAGCCTTGAGAGGCTATTTCAGCTTCTCCTTGACGTGTAGGTGAGCTCACGGGGCTCAAACCGGGTGTGTTGCTAACACTGGCCCTAGCAAGAGCAGTGCTTCGCAGAATCTACCACCGGATCGGAAACGCGACCCACTGATAAGATTTGGTGAGAAACTCAGTGGGTTGTGTCTATGGGTTAATTCACTCGTCGAGCCCTTTGACGAGGACGGTGACCGGTGCTTGTGGTACCTAAAAGCACTGTTAATGGTTCGGAAGAATGTGAGTGCGCAGTAGTGCGTGCGACGTACTGGTGGTGGTGCGGCGCGAAGGGCGGCACGTGGTAGCCGCCGGCCTGCGCCGCGTAGCTCTTCCCGCCGGCCGCCGCGGGGCTGGGCGCCGGCTGCAACACAAAAGGGACTAATTCAATGGGACTGCACTCAACTCGGAGCTAACGGCTCTAGCAAATCGCCATGGCCTAAAGGATAAGACGTCCGGTGCATTCGTATGTAGCGATGTAACGGTTTTCGAATCCCGCAGGCGGGTACTAATTTTTCTAATGAAATACGTACTTAACAAATGTTCACGATTGACTGCCACGGTGAAGGAATAACATCGTGTAACAAAAACCAAACCCGCAAAATTATAATTTGCTAAATTATTGGTGTGGTAGGACGTTTTGTGAGTCCGCACGGGTAGGTATCATCGCCGTACCTATTTCTGCCGTGAAGCAGTAATGCATTTCGGTTTGAAGGGTGGGGCAGCCGTTATACTTACTGTACTGAGACCTTAGAACTCATATCTCAAGGTGAGTGGCTGCATTTACGTTGTAGATGTCTATGGGCTTTGGTAATCACTTAACATCTGGTGTGAGCTGCTCCACCCATCTATGCAATAAAAACGGGTAACAGAGGACATGTAAAGCAACGATTTATATATATGCTGTGCAAAATAAGGCAACAACAAAAAATGCTGTATAGAATGTTGACAAATTGTATGCATTATATCAGATAGATTTTACAGAGATAAGTCTTAAGTATTTTAAAATATCTCAAACACATTACACAATGCAATTTTCAATAGCTATTAATTTTACAATTTTTAAGTTACAAATGTAACTTAAATTGTGTTCAGTATTGTTTTTAGTTTGCTAAAAGTACGGTACTCTTTGGAGTCGGTGTACCAAAGCGCACCATTTAATGGAGACAAGTGAGGGTGCATTACCGGCGCGTCGTCGTGCCGCGGCGGCGTCACGTGGTTGCGCGGCCGCTGCTCCTTGTCCTTGGGCGGGGAGGGGGGCGGCGCGCGGGGCGAGGGCCCGGGCGCCGCCGCGGTCCCGCTGCTGCCGCCTCCGTTGTTGTTGCTGTTGTTGTTGTTGGGGCCCGATGGCTTCACCAGCTTGCCGCCCTGCGAGTTTACAAATACAGTCAGTACGAGCTGTTACTACAATGATGAATATACCGGTGTGTGTACATATTTGAAGAAAAACGAGAAAATAACAACTATCATGAAAAAATATGGAATTATATAGTTCTTTTGAATCTGGGAATCATTGCAAAGAAATTCATACAATAAAAATAAAATTAAACTAAGATAAAAATCTGATATAACATGATGCTCCAACGAAAAAGCTTAATATCAAATGACTGAAACGCCTATACACCTACTCTTAAATTACGTAATAACTACAAATCTCTAAGCTTGTGTTGTTTCCGCCGTGAAGCAGTAATGCGTTTCGGCTTGAAGGGTGGGGCAGCCGTAGTAATTATACTGAGACCTTAGAACTCATATCATAAAAAACTGTTTCGATCAGCGACCTCATGTCTCAAAGTGGACGACGACACTGCTGTTGTGATGTCTATGGGCTCCGCTAAACACTTATTATTTAGTGGACCGTGTTCTAGTCACCCACCAACAAAATTTTGTCTTTAATTTTTTATTGCCGTATAGGCAGACGACCATACGGCCCACCTAATGGTGAGTGGTCATCGTCGCCCATGGACGTCAGCAATGCCAGAGATAGAGCCAACCCGCTGCCTACCATTTAATACTCTCCACAAGTCTCGTTTGAAGAATGATATAAATGGCTCGGTCATAGTGGATCCTTTCTTGTGGTGGCTATGCTCTGTCATACTATTCAGGGGCACTTTGATCCCATTGAAAGGGTGTTGTGTTTAATTCAAAGTTAATTTCATTGTAATGCGGTCATGTACATACCATACTCACCTGCATATTTTTTCTCTTGTTCGGTATAACGTATTTTCCGGTAGAACTGCTGCTGTCCTGGGGCCGCAGCACGGCCGCGAACCTCTCCTCTTCGTCGCCGTTCTCCAGTTCGATGCGCGCTTTATACGAAGCCGCGCTTTCAATTTCTGCAGCGATCTCTTCCGCCTTAGCCTCCGCTTCGCTGATTATGAAAACAAATAAAATCTATGTAACAAATGCATAACTTTATCAAAACCGTTGGCATATTCCTAAAATAAAGCTCCAGTTTATTATAAAAATTTTGATTAAAATTTACGAAAATCTCAAAAAAAACAAATAATTTGCAAATGTAACTACTACGGATTGACTAACATCGGGCATAATTTTTTTGCCAATTGAATATCTATGAGCATTCTTTAGAGATTTCTACTTTTTGTATATTTGGACTAGTTTGCTAACCAGATTTAAGCTTATAGTTTTAATTAAAATTAAGTTTAAAAAGAAAAATTCTTCATATTAAGTTTTATAGAACGTTTTTATTCTATACGCTGACTTATAACTAATAGCAGAGGGCAGATATTCGTTTGTTAAGGAGGATAAAACAACAATCGTACTTGTGGTCAATGTTGGACAAACTTTTGGGACGAAATTATGAGCTATGTCCAGATCAATGCATAACTAAATATCGCGTTGCGAAGGCAACGTCAGGTATTCCAGCCCACTGAGTTTCTCGCCGGATCTTCTCAGTGGGTCGCGTTTCCGATCCGGTGGTAGATTCTGCGAAGCACTGCTCTTGCTAGGGCCAGTGTTAGTCACACTCCGGTTTGAGCCCCGTGAGCTCACCGACGCGTCAAGGAGAAGTATACTATACTGAGACCTTCGAACTCATATCCCAAGGTGAATGGCAGCATTTACGTTGTAGATGTCTATGGGCTCCAGTAAATACTAACACCAGATGAGCTGGTGTTAGTGGCAGGTGGCCAAGCAATAAAAGAAAAAAAAGCTCTTATCAAATCAAATCAACAAATCTTTATTCAACATGAATGAAAGTACATACTTGTTGAACGTCAAAAAGAACTACTGCCAATTCACAAGAACTAGCCTCCGCCCTGAGAAGAACTGGCAAGAAACTCAGCGGGCATGTCTTTTTTTTTAATATTAGATTATTTTTTTCAAATATTCATTTTTACAATCTCAGGGCTATCAGTATAGGAAAAAGGTTATCCAGGTGATGACTGACCGATAGTCTTGCGTGTCCTTCCTCTGCAGCTGGACCGTGTATCCGGTGAGCGAGTGGTCGTACGTGCTGTGGACGCCGTACACCTCCTCGTTCTTGCGGAACATGTCGTTGGCGTCCCAGCCGTTGGCGCAGTGGTCGAGCTGCTCGAGGTCGTCGAGGCGCACGTCGCCGTTGACCGAGGGCGCTTCGGCGGAGTCGCCGTCGCAGCCGTCCCACGGCTCTAGGTGGCGCTCCTCCAGGGAACGACCGTTGCCTACAATTGTAACAAAATAAATAATAATTTTCTCTTTTTTAATACGCTTTTATCAGCTTCAGGCGTATGTATGTTTGTAACGGAATCTTTGAACATGATTTTCCCCCCTTCAAAACGTCGGCCTAACTCGAAATTTGGTTTACTTATTAAGGACCGATGACAATTCAATATTAAAAAAAATTTGAAAAAATTGAAATTGAACTAAAAAATGAAAAATAAATTTACGCGTACTACGCGTAACACGTAAAAGCTCCACGCTTTTTTTTACAATAAAATCATTTTTTCTTACACTATTTTTAATTAAAATTTATTAAAATTTATTTTCTATTTTTTTTTATTGCTTACATAGTTGGACGAGCTCACAGCTCACCTGGTGTTAAGTGGTTACTGGAGCCCATAGACATCTACAACGTAAATACGCCAACAATCTTGAGATAAAGTTCTAAGATCTCAGTATAGTTACATCGGCTGCCCCACCCTTCAAACCGAAACGCATTACTGCTTCACGACAGAAATAGGCGGGGCGGTGGTACCTACCCGTGCGAACTCACAAGAGGTCCTATTACCAGTAATAAATTTACAAAAAATGTAATTATATTTAGTTCTGCACAAGTGTACATACAGGTCGAATGTGTTTAGTTTGAATCGTCCTACTTGCGTCGATAACCCTCAATGCTGAGGATCGTGGCCTCCTCTAAGAACTTTCTCCTGCATTATCCTGCGCCACTCCTGCCTATCCTCGGCTGTGTGGATAGCAACGTGGACTGAAGTCTTGAGAGGGGAGCGTATCTGGTCTGACCAGCGCATTGGACTTTGGCCTCTGGACCTTCTTCCGCATACTTTGCCTGTTACCAGCAGCTTCTCTAAATTGTCACCTCTCTTTCTGGCAATGTGTTCATAGAACTCAAAACTACTCCGAGCGCATATAGTGCTGAGGCGCATCGGACTCTTCCTCCTACTAATAAGTTTGTCTTTATTCTGTACACTAAAAACTACATATTTAAAAAAAAAAAAAACATTTACCATTAAATTTGCTAGATATAGCTGTGTCTGTTTGGAAAACGTCGTGTGTCGCATATTCAAGGTCAGAGTCCTTGGCCCTGATGTATACAACATCCTGGGGCTTGAAGATCAGTTTCTTCACAACGGAGTCCACAGCTACGACTCCTTCTTGGTCGACGCGGTGAGCCACTTCTAATACCACCTGGTGAAGAATAATCAAGTTCAAAATTCATTTTACTATATATTTTTTATGGCCGTTGTAGGCAGACGAGCATACGGCCCACCTGATGGTGAGTGGTTACCGGCGCCCATGGACTTCAGCAATGCCAGGGGCAGTGCCAAGCCGCTGCCTACTAAATAAGTTCAACTGGCAATTATTAATTTGATTTAATTTAATAAGAAGACACAAAACAATCACGTCTCCAGTGTGTCTAGTGCGAGTTTTTTAACGTTCTCGATAGCGTAAAAGTTAACTCAAATTTGTATGGAGTTGGAACGTTTGCCGCTAGGGGCGTTGTTCCTACTGCATAAAAAAATGTGTTAACTTTTATTAAAAAACTCGCATTAAGCACACAGAGGTTTCCTTTAATTCACTAGTTTACCCTGTCTCCTTTTCTCGATTTCGATTCAACGCCAAGNGTCTAGTGCGAGTTTTTTAACGTTCTCGATAGCGTAAAAGTTAACTCAAATTTGTATGGAGTTGGAACGTTTGCCGCTAGGGGCGTTGTTCCTACTGCATAAAAAAATGTGTTAACTTTTATTAAAAAACTCGCATTAAGCACACAGAGGTTTCCTTTAATTCACTAGTTTACCCTGTCTCCTTTTCTCGATTTCGATTGCACGGCAAGCGAGCGGGCCGTAAAACTATAATCCAAGTCAAAATACGACATTCATACGCCGATCATTCCATCTATTGAGAAAAAAAAACAAGAAGTATTTTTTGGCTACATTTAAAACCAAAACAAAAAAAATCATTACGTACATTATTAAGGATGGTGTTATCCCTACAAGTGATCTCTTGCAATTTTTAAAGGAATAATAGAATTGTATTATACCCTAGACGAGTGGATATGTTAAAGTTTATTTAAATTTATAGTTTAAAAAAGTTTAAAGTAAATCACCAAACTGTAGTGATTTTTTACAAATTTTCATTGCCTTCGATGGTAGACGATCTTAAAGCTCACGAATGCTGGGATTACCAATGCTCATGGCGGTTAAAAATGCCACTGCCAAAACAAATCAGACTCTTTTTAACTTCTTTCATTTTGATTAATATTAATTTCCATGTATGTTGGCACAATGAGTGCCTTGCGTTAGTTAACCTTTTACCTAACACGTAATTTTAGCAGCAATTTTTTTTGTAAAGGCCGATTTCAAACAATCCATCTATTTGATTCCACATTTATTTGATTCGGTCACAATCGCACCAATTAAAAATCATTTAGATTTAGAAGGAAATACAAGCGAAACACACAGATATATCGGCCGGAAAGCGCGCATAAAAAAACTGATACATTTACATATATTATCTACGGGTCGGTTTCATATCATTAAAGGTCACAACGAACTAAATCCGCGCACATTAAATATCAATGAATGGTGTTTGTATTCATGGGAACTAGTGGCCCCGCAGTATTCGAAATTCGACTATAATTAATTGGAATTGTACGTTTGTACACAATTATGATTGTATTTTATACTTCTATAATCACGAATTTCGCCAAGACTACACTATAAAAATATTAACAAAGACAAACAATATTTGATCTATTCTCAAATTGACCACAGACGTTAAGAACAAAAGTTTGACAATAAATAGTATGCATGCGTGTGTGCGTCAAATACATGGTATGTAGTGTGTGTAATCTTTTCTTTATTGATTTAATGTATCTTTTATGCATTATTTAAAAAAAAAAATAGCATTGTGCACTTCTTCTCTATATTCTCTATAAGCGTGGAAAATTTCATACTCCTCCGTCCGCGCAATTTTCGTAAAAAGGGATACAAAGTTTTTGCTTCACGTATTAATATATAGATATCGAGTGGACATACGAGCTTACGGCCCATCCAATGGTGAATGGTCATTATTGATCACTGACATCGGCAATGCTCGGGACACACTTGCTGGCTATCCCAGGGTAATCTCTTCGAACCTCGTTTGAACACGGAGGCGTCAGCAAGCGATGCGGAAGGATATTCGTTTCAAAGCCGGATGGTACGTCACGCATTACAGTGGCACGGAGCTGTCATAGACAACGTATGTGGAAGGACAATTTATATTTATTACATACTAGCTGACCCGGCAGACTTCGTAGTGCCTCAATCGATAAATAAAAGACCTAAACTTTTGTATAAAATAAACTTAAAACAAACAAAAAGGAATCCGTCCGACGAGGACACATAAAATGGAAAACAAAATTGTTATTTTAATTTAATTCCGAGATTGTAATTTTCATATTTATTTACATTTTAAACCTTCTCTGGACTTCCACAAATAATTCAAGACAAAAATTAGCCAAATCAGTCCAGCCCTTCTCGAGTTTTAGCGAGACTAACGAACAGCAATTCATTTTTATTATATAGATAGATTAATTCGGATGGCTGATAATTTTGACCTCATAGACCGCTTGCAACATGGATGGAATCCATTTTTTTTTCTACCTAAGCTGATAGCCTTGAGAGGCTGATTCAGCGTAACCGTAGCTAGTAGGTGAGCTCACGGGGTTCAAACCTGAATGATGCTAACAATGACCCTAGCAAGAGCAGTGCCTCGCAGAATCTACCACCGGATCGGAAACGCGACCCACTGAGAAGATCCGGCGAGAAACTCAGTGGGCTGTGTTTGTGGGTTAATTCGCTTGTCGAGCCCTTCGTCGCAAGTGACGGGTTCGACGAGAACGGTGACCGGCGGAATCCATGCCTACCTTTTGTTTATACTGACTTAAAGAGTACTCGGCAGAAAGCAATTGTTTTTAGTTCTCCGGGCATTGCCAATGGTCATAAACAACGACACAACATATCCGTCAAAGGCAATATAAAGTTGTAAATGTGCTAAGTATAACAAAGCAGAATCTTTACCTTGTCTGGTCGATATTGCTCAGGTAAAAAGAGAAACAATAGCCTGAATATAAGTTACATTTTATGAAGGGAAAAAATGTGATTCACCATGTCCAAATAAATATTAATCTAGCATGTTAATTTTTGTCCCTCTTCCTCCCTACCTATTGGATGGTAGCTGAAGGGGCTATTTCAGGTACGTTATGACAAGTAGGTGAGCGCTCACCGAGGTGAAGTTGAGAGATAATGCTATCACTGACCCTAGTAAGAGCAGTGCTTCGCTGAATATACCATCGGACCGGAATCGCGACCCACTGAGAAGATCTAGAGAACAACTCAGTGGCTTAACGTTTTTCTTGTAAAAAAATGTTCTCTAGTGCAAAAGCATCTTCTATTGTTTGATAGATTTACGTTTTAGCTTGTAGCTATGTAAATATTCTTGAGACTATTAGAAACGCGATTGAAGTTTGTAAAATTTTGTTATTTCAACAGTTACGTTGCTAATAAACTTATTGAGTATACGACAACTTACCGTCATATTATGTCTTCGCATTAAAGCGTTTACATATAAACGCCTTAATGCGAAAAGGTCATATGTGACCAAGCTCGTATGACACGTGCATAAATTTGTAATTAACGTTCGTGCTGCTGAAATTATAATTTTTTTACGGCCGGCAGGGGGCGCTGTTCAAATCATACACAATTTTTTTCTCGATACCGATACGAATACTTTTTCTCCTACCTACGCCGAAAGCTCGGTTTTCGTCCCGCTGTACAGGGAAGAAAGTCTAACTTTTGCGGGTGCGCATGCGCGTTAGTGTCTACGTCTGCTCTCACGCACCTAAAATTCTCCGCCATTGTTGTGCTCGGGTAATTTGCAATATTGTGTTTAGTGTAAAAGTGAAATAAAAACAACAGGCAATAAAATTTAATAGTGAAGTATTAAACAAAGATGAGTTCATCAGACAGCTCTTATTCAATTAGTAGTAGTTTATTTAAAAATAAAAAAAATGTTTTTTTATGAGTGGGTGGGCTCCGCCACCCAACCCGCTGCCAGGGCTTCGACCCTGGACCTCGGTTCGGTACTCCACGTGTGCTAAGTTTTTTACAATGTCGAACTTTCGGCCTGATAGGAGAAGAAATAGTATGTGCACAATGTACTATTTCGATAGTCATTCGTGCTCGCCCCTCAGTTCTGCTTGAAGTTCGACGAATTCAGTTACACGCGTAAACCAGCCTACCTCGTACGGCGTAAAGATTTGTTTCCAAAGTGACTAGTCTAGTTATGTGAACATACACAGACTCGACACGATTATTTCTTCTTAATCGTTTCAATCTTGACGCGCCTTGCGATGCCCAACATCTCTCGCCATACACACGATAGTACAATCTGTGTGTTAACGCCCTTAGATTAAAGATTTGCAAACTTGAAACGACCTTATTTTTACTTTGTCCAATGCTTATTTTCGCGGTTTTTTTTATTGCTTAGTTGGGTGGACGAGCTCACAGCCCACCTGGTGTTAAGTGGTTACTGGAGCCCATAGACATCCACAACGTAAATGCGCCACCCACCTTCAGATATAAGTTCTAAGATCTCCAAGTAAGTTACAACGGCTGCCCCACCCTTCAAACCGAAACGCATTACTGCTTCACGGCAGAAATAGGCAGGGTGGTGGTACCTACCCGCGCGGACTCACAAGAGGTCCTACCACCGGATTTCTTGAAGAATATCTCTGTGGTAGCTTAGCTTTTACGATGAGCGATTTAAGACCACCCCTTCACATTGCATGGATGGCGCAACGAATTCACTACGAAAATAAATTAATTACGATGATTTTTGTCAAAATGTTTCTATATATCAAGCTCTTAAATCGTCGATAAGCGGATCAGACTCGACGAAAACTCACAGTCATCTCGATAATCTCAAAATGATTCGCTACGAGCAAGTCACAAATCAGAAATAGTGAAAAACTAGAACTAGAAGGAGGTTATCAGTCGTCGATACAAAAATTTATCGATATTTATAGTTATTACCACGACAGGCAAAAGCGTTTTTTCCCATTAAACGGGCGTCTGGTGTAGTGGTAAGCGACATGGTCACTACACAAGGGGGTCGCGGGTTCGAATCCCGCCAAGGGAAGATAT